CCGTTCGGATATATATTCTCGGCCACTAACACTCAGGGAATACGACAAAAAAATCGTTAAATACTCGACATGAGGCTGACGGTTGATATTTTTTTCTATCTTTCGAAATTGTTTGTGGGGATGATGGTATTTCATCAATTTTCACATTCTAGCAATTTTTTAAGCTTTATGCACTTCATTGCTCAACTTTATTAAATTGAATATTCTATACTGCTTCCACTGCAGAATTACATATAAGAAACTCATCTATTTGCTGTAATTACGGTAATCCGTAATATTTGAAGAATCAATGGAATTATCTCGTCGAATTTAAAGGGAAAATTATGATCAACTTCCTACTGCAAATGCCCACATCCATAATTTTCTATTTCCTTCATCAGGAGCAGACCGGCCTGGCAGAAAAATTTCCGTCACAGGTAACGACATTGCCTTACCCGATTCAGACTGGCGGGAAACCCAACTGCAAATATAAACAGGAAACCTCAATAGACAGGAAAAAATTTATTCACGTATAACAAGCACAGAACCTATATTTTCGTTTTTAAAAAACATATTTAAAACAACCTTACAGTGATCGCCACGGCAAGATTTCACTCATTGCAAGTTAAGTTTTCCTCTCTTTATATGAAAATTATCCCGGAATTTGTCAATATATTTTCAGCTCACAAATTGTTCTCTAGACATCCCTATACACTCCTTTTCTAGTAATGTATACCAGAAGTTTCCCTAGAAATACTTTTCAGTGTATTTGAACAAAAAAATCTTTGTACATATCTCTGTTTTTTTTCTCAGTGAATTTGAGGAAGAAATGTGAGCAATAGGTCATCGGAGAGGGGGCTAATTCATTCAGATGAGATTATAATTTAAATAACGCGAGGAACAGTCCTAATTAAAATAACAAAACTCATGCAAAAAAAAAAACAATTTCGGTAGTATTCCCAACGCAGTCTGCTGTTTACATAAAATAGTTTTCGGTAAGATATGAAAAACCATCGACCTAATGCCTGATCCAAATATTTTTCGTCAATGTGCAACAATTCAAATATAAGAAGGAAGAACACAACAAAAAAATCGAATGAAGCTCACTCATATTTTGAGCACAATATATGCCTTTTTATTTCCGAAAGGAACTGCAGAATGATGGAAATTTAATTGTTGTATGTTTGGTATTTCATCGACCCATTATATTGTTACGTTTCCCACTTCGAATCCGTAAATTATAAACCACGAGACCTACTGCGCACTCCGTGCGCCGAGTTTGACTTTGGCGGTTCGAGTTGACCAATGAGAAATTAGTCCTACTCGTTTCGAGATATTTCGACTCGGGTGAACTTCATTTTTGTGTTTCTACTGTCATAATAAGGATTTGAAGGATGCTATGATCTCTGGAGAAATCCAACTGTCGATTGTTAGATCATTCATTCTAATCTCTGGATCAAGAAGAAGAAACCATCGTCGGTACTCGGTCTTCTTTTAATAAGCTCTCCGCCCGTTTCATTTATTAATTACGTTTTCCTCCACATTATTTCTTGGGGCGCAACAATCTTATAAACGCAAAAAATCGAAAATTGACATTACATTCATTTATGAATTTTTAAGAGTAAAAAAAACTTTTTTTTACAATAATTGAACAAAAAATATTATGAAATACTTCAATCATGGCTTACGAAAATTTCTTTCAGTGTTTTGTTGACTGAGTTGAAAGACCGAATTGATAGCAATAACCATTGTATCGATATCTAAAAAAGATTGCCAAGATCTACCAACGTTGAATTAGATTTGACCTTAAACTTACAGTTTCGATGGTACTATTGAAATTAGGAGATAATTATAACCCTAAATATAAATTAAAAACAAGAAAAAATTACTTTAAGTGGCTATAAATTTACGAAAAATGGACTAATTCGATTGAAATTTGGTTTGGCAAATCATCGGGTTGTTGAGCTTTACTAACTATTGATCATTAGCTTTATGTAAAATTGAATATCCGATTTCCTAAACAATGAAACAAATTTTTCAATAAAAAAAGCGAAAAACTCTACCATGCCAGACCTACAGTCCGTCCGAATTATGTGAATGCTATCTATAAAGGCCCTTTTTTTTCCGGAACATACCCTTGAGAAGAGTTGATTTTTCAATGCTCAATTTATTTATAATCATGTTAAATACAATGTGACTCAATGTGTCTCTATAAAATTGAACGCATATTGCTGTTCGAAAGCACATTGCTTATTTATTAGGAGAAACAATAATGGTATATGTAATGAGAGACAAAAAATATGGTATATTATTAATGTATAATAATTATATCTTCAGTTATTCTCATATTTTCGCCCGATGTGCTTTATTAATCTCTCACTAAAATAGGTGCAAGTCGGAATTGAAATCGTCCACTCACCTGGATGAAAAAAATGGGAAATGACTTGACATCTTGAACGCAAGGTGTGAAATGAAAAGAAAATCAGAAAAAAGCTCGGAAATTCATTCCCCTACAGTCCTTTCGCATCTTGCACGACGACTGGACTGTAAAATCATCAAAAACAATATTTTTCTAGTGGATTTCTAAAAGATTCAAAGAAAGTAATAAAATTCCCGGAGAGAATTCAAAAGAAACGGTAAAAAGTGCGGAAGGCAATAAATGGTACAGCGAGAAGAGAGTGTAGAACTCCCTAATGGAGTCAACAAACAAAAGTGAATCGATTTGAAATAATGACACGCAGAGGCAAGTGAAAAGAGGTAGGAGAGAGGGAGAAAGAGAGAGAGAAAGAGGAGGACATTGAGTGTATACGCGGGGCCCGTCTCGGCGACAAATAAAAGCACTCAGCGTGAGCGGCTTTATCCTTATACAACTGTCAGACGTCTTAACGCCCTCTGCTCCTTTGCCCCCCACCACTACCGACTCTTCACAACTTCCATTTCATCCCCCTTCCCCCTTCCCCCTCCCGCCCATCACATTGCTCTTTTTTTCCGAGCCACTCACCTTCTCTCACTCTCACTTACGTTCTATCAGAGACACTGGCATGGTTACCCTCAACATTAATGGCAAAATCAACCACTGTATGACACGGAGATGAGAACTCTGGACGAGTCAGATGCCATAGGCTCTTTACGTTACATCCCACAGGGTTAAAAGCTTTATGGAACTCATTTTTGTTAGGCGTATACACAAAGTGGCCCTTCTAACCTTTTTTTATTTCCACTCTTATTTCCATTTGAGAAAACAGCTCAACGTTAATGATTTGTGAATTTTATACTCAAGGGCATGACAGGTGGAAGACCACTACCCAAATATGACCTTATTTTTACTGTACCAATTTTTTCGTTTTAGTCAATTGTCATGGACAAATGTTGTCACCAAATAATTGTTTTTACTATGGCAAAGACAATGACTGAGGTCAAATAATTCACGCATCGCGGTCACCATATATTAAAAATTTTTTGGGGCCCAGGAAGTACAGGTTCAAGAATTACGGCCGAAGATCTAATATAAAACCCTCGTTTTTTTTTAAATATTGTATCCCTACTTCATGTTATTAACGGTTTTTTTGTGATCGCTTTGGTACCTCAAAATTGAGCAAATAAGGCGAATTCATAAAGCAGAAATTTGTTAGACTTTGTGTAGTTTTCATTCTCTTGACATATTAACGATAGCTACAGAAATAAGCGGGAGAGTGTCTGTAGTATTAATTGAATTCAAAATATATTTATTCAATTTTTTTTGTGTGAGAAAAAAGTGAGGGGACAAATTTTGGTTCAATGGTAATTAGGGGCATGAATTCATGGACTTGGATTAATCGGGCGAGTAGTTCAAAATCATAGACAAATAATTCCCAACGAGCTTAATTACCCATTTGCTTTATTACCAATGAGAAACAGTAATCTATTATCCTCTGATATTTTTCTCTCAGTCGATTTAATTTGATGATTAATTGCGTATAACAAACGATGACAATCAAATGAAGATTTTATTTACATTCTTCTAAGGCACTTGAGCCTTGTACAAATCCCTGAAGAAATAGACCAATGTTAATTTTCCTATTGCCTTAAGTTGGGTGGGTTTTAACACATTTTGGATGTGTGGGCTAAAATATAATTAAAGAACGTTGTACAAATCTGATAAATAATTGTTGTCTATGCATGTAGTTTAGGAGTATTATGTGGATTTGATGAAAATAAAAATAGTTAAAGAGGTAAAAAACCGCAATAGAGCAATGAATAATTGACTGTTGCTATCGTAAAAAAATAGATAAGAAAAATAAATAAAGCAGAAAATAAAGACAGGGAATATCCGATTGAAAGCCGCCATGAAGCAGCAGAAGGGGTTTGCAAAGAGAGTTTGGGCAAACACGGTGCAATTAACGTGGAATCATTAAATATGTATAGAGCAGTGCACGCACGTGGATATTCTCGGTGCCTGTGTGTGCAAAGCACCATCGTAAATGCATTCTATCGAAATAGGGGCGGAGAGAGAAGAGATCGAACTGACACGCAACTGGCGGCCACTCATCTCTCACTGTTGGCGCAGACCTCGCTTGATTAGCTCTGTCATATTTACATATCATTAGTCGATTGTGTACTCTATCCGGAATTCCCCTTTTAACTCTCTGCATTCCCCACACCGTGAAACTCTTCTGTTTTTTTATTTTGTCTTTTGGATTTTTAGCATCAATTAAAGCTACCAATAGGGTCGATTCAAACAACTGAACATATGGCTGGTACAACCAGGGACAAGGGGTTTATTATTATTTGAAGACCACCTTACCGACTACAGTTGCAGAAACCACTGTCGATACTGCACCCTTCGCCAGTAAAATAACCGAACGCAATTATTCGTTCCAACTCATTTATTTTTCTCATAAAAATATGAATTTTGAATTTCTCTACATTCATAACAAAGTCCTTAATTAATCCGAGGATTTTAAATTTGTTTTTACAACCAATTCATACCTAGTATTTTTGAATAAAGAAAAGAAAGTGAAAGACTTTTATTATTTCGAAAATTGATGACTGATGAATGGGTATTCAATCATTTATTTTTCCATGCAACTCTGATGGTTTGAATAATTAATCCATCAAAGTCGGAATTTGACTATTAAAAATAACCATCCAATCTTATGTTCAATTGAAATATTTACAATATACGATTCGGCTTAATTTATTAATACTCAGCCGAAATTAAATGCTCATCATTAATGTCAAGAAAATGTGGATTTTTTCCCCATTAATAAACTTCTTATAATAAATTAATACATGTAATTTGGCTAAAAAAATATTCAAGGACCATAGTTGAACGACTATTAAGGCAGTAATGGTAATATGGCTTGGGCTTTTTTCTCTTCATACAGTCTCACCTCAACTTCAACTTTCCTCCTATAAAACGCAAGGAAATCCCTCATATTCTTCAATTCCACGATATGTGCGTGATTTTATTTTGAATTTTCTTAAAAAAAATTGTTTTAATTCGTATACTTAATGGATTCAGCGATTCCAAATCAACTTGGAATATTCAAATCAATTCAATAACCATCATTACCTCATCAATTGTTCCAATGATTACCAAAACTCTGAGAATCCAAAATTTTTCTCCACTTTATGCATTATTTCAAATAAGTGCTTGTAAATGTTTTCTTATTAAAATAACTAAAGAACTGTAAGCTCCGAACATTTTTTTAATTTTTAAAAATGAAAGGAAACCTGTATCCATTTGAGAAAAATCTTAATTGTTTTTCCAGGAGATGAAAAAATTCAGTGACTTAATAAAAGAAACTAGCAACATTTTGAACAATACAGGAGCATGACAACTCCATAATTTCACGAAAGTGTATCTTTTCAATGCCAGCACTCACCTTCTTCGACTATCCCTAAAATCATCAAATCTTCGTGGTGGAAAAACTTAAAAATTTCTTAATTGGCAGTCTGCACCAACCCTCCCTCAATCTGTTTGAGGGCAGTTTCGAAGTCCTCAAGAACCTGCATGTCAATAGAGGATACAATGGAGACCCTGTCCACATCGTCATCCTCTCTAAAGGCAGTCTTTTCATCCTCTGATGCGCTCATGGTGCTCTCATCGAATATTTCGATATCATTTTGCACAGTATTTCCTTTCTTCTGTTCCTTCTCCTCCGAGAAGTCCTCGTGTTGTGATGGGAGGCCCTCCCTCTGGAGTGAATCAAGACTCCTTCTCTCCCTCGTGAGAATGCCCAGTTTGGGTCTCTCCTCTCCCATTCCCTCAACACTGGAACACGAGCTGGGCCTGGGCCTGGGTCTAGCTGAACCCTGAATTCTCAGTCCTAGATTTGCTGCAAGTGGCGCTGGTAGATGCGCTTCTTCCAATTTCAAGTGTTCGGTGAGCTTGGCGGTGGACTGTCGAGATCGGTGATGCGCTGCTCGATCCTCGGAGAGTCTTCTTGCGAGTCTTTCAGCGACAGTGTTTTGTCTACGTACGCTGTGCCCCGATGATTCATCAGGACAATTGGTGATGATATTGGATTGGTGATGGCCTGAGAGCACTGGGTCGTGTAGATCGCTTGATTTTGAAGTGTCAGTTGAGGCTTCTGATGATTCTGATGATTTTGAGTGTCTGGACGATGGGATGAAGGTGATAACTGCGATTGGTGGGTCTGGATCTGAGTTAAAAAGGGTATGTGGTTTTGATGTTGACCCTCCTCCATTTGGGGAATTGGTGGGGGCGAAAGGGTAATTGGCATCTGATTTGTCACGTGGAATTGGAGAATTTGACTTGTCAAAGATGTTTGGAGTGTCTGAATCGTTGGAGAGTGGATTAATTGGATTGAGTCCTGGTACGGGCTTCTTGGCTCCTCTGGAGAGTTTGTCGAAGAGGAGGGGCGATGATAGGGCGAGATTTGAGTGGTCTGATTCGATATCTCCAAGATTTTTGGGAATGCTCTTTGGTAGGATGTGGTGGGTCTCGGTGGGCGACAGCTTTTTGACGATGAGGTATTGCTGTTCGGTGGTGTGAGTGGAGTGGGCACTCGTTGGATTGGATTTGATGTAGGTGATGCCCTGATGTTGATTGGTGAAGGTGTTGATGCCGAGTGGAGTGTAGGTGACGTGGGAGGCGAGGGCGAGAGAAGGTATGGGGTTTGTGGGGGTGATGGTACTTGGAGCAATGGGGATAAGGAGGGTGGAGGCTGGTAGCTGGCTGATGTTGCTGGTGGTGACTTGTCGCTGGGTAGTTGCATCACTTTTATGAAGTCCACGAGGCGCTTTATTGATTTCTGGGTCTTTTCCTGCTTTCCCAGCAACTCCTGGCGCATACGATGCTGCAGCTGGGTAGGTTATAAATTGATTAATTTGATTTTTATTGCAGGTGGTATTGAATTTTGACAAATTGGTTTTTAAGGAAAATGCTAGGAGAGTTCATTTACGGATGGCTTTCATGTAATTCCGTTTTATGTATTCGATTCTAATTCATTGATTTACTGAGGAAGCATGGAAATCAATATTTTATTTAATGATTTTTCAATCAATTTCTCTTCAGCATTTTCCCTAGAAAAATAAACGTATTTTTAGACTTGGATTATCATGCCTTGTGTGCAGTGGAAAACAAATAAAAAAATTATCATTTCCCGGAACACGAAACGATAAATAAATCGTTGAAGAATGGATCAGTTAGACAATGAGGAAATTATAAACTGAACTATTTAAGAGCTTGCAGGTTCGTGGGTGAAAAATAAATCTGTCCACGATAATTACGTTTAAAATAAAACAATATGGGCATTCCAACATAAATAAATCTTTTCTAAATTTTAAATGTGATCAGTCTTGATCTTTCTCTCTAAACAGGCCACAGGACGAACCTGAAGTGATTGGCCGAGCAGCTGCGATCGTTTTTCCAACTCGTAAACCTGCAATCTCAGATCCGAGTTTCTTTCACGCTGCTCATATCTTTCTCTTTCTTTTTCCTCTGCAATGATATTTTCCCGTTCAAAATCACTAGATTTGTTTCAATATAAACTGAATGTCAAATAAACCCATCAACGATTTGTTTTTTATTACAGATATTTCATTCGGAGAGGAAAAAGTTTAGTCATTTGTCAAATATTTACCGAGTTCTTCATCTTTCTTAATCACTGGAGTACTCCGGTCATCCTCTTTTTTTTTCTCTGCACATTTTGGGCATTGCCGTGGTGGTGGCGGTGAAATCGTGTGACAAGAAATGTGATAATTAGCTGAACATGTGTCACAGATTGTTAAAGTCCCTGGAAAAAAGTTTGAGCATTTAGAAGTGAACTGATTGAAAAGAGAACAATAATATAATATTTAAGCTACAACAAGTAAACTTAAAAGAATTAATTTGCTTTGCAAGATCAATTCAGAATTGTTTTACCAAAGTCAATAGAATTTCTTAATGATTGGCAAAAATGCCTTTATTTCGATATATTGAGTTTACCTGGATTTCTGCAATTGATGCAAACAGCAGTATCATTCTCAATTCTCTCAATAGTCAAGCTGGCCGGCAATCCTGGAATATGTACAGACTTAGTCTCGGCTAGTTTGGCCTCCCTTTGGCTCGTGCCGTTATCGAGTTTCGATCGATTTTGGAATGCTCGTGTTTCTTGCATGGTTCTCAGGATATTGGGCCTAACCGCTGATTTTTGCGGAGGAATGAGACTCTTGGAGGTAGTTTTGGTGGGTGGGGATGCTGATTTTGGTGGTATTTTGGCTGGTGGAGGCGAGGGGCCATTCAGTCTGGCTGTTGTCTGTCTCGTCTGAGGGGCTGATCCCGCTGATTGCAGGTACGCATGCCGCTTTCGTTTCTACACATTCATAGTTAATTCCCATTTTCAATAATTTTAAGACGGAAATTAGTTTAATCTTAATGAATGTGAAACTATATCTGAATATTCAATAGTAAACAGTTAATTATCATTTACCGACGGCATATCCCACGTTGAATAGACAAACTGAGGATTGGCAGTACTCCTTCGTTTTCTCTCGGATTTCTTGTTCTGTAATTCATCGAGTCGGCTGGCCGTGATGAGCCCGAGATTACCCAGAAAGTTTACCTGCTTTACGTGTGATTGATATTCATCCATGACAGGTACTTCAATCTTGGAAGTTTCAGACTGTTTCTCCGTCGAATTCTCATCGTTTGAGACTTCGATAACGTCCTCGTCTGCTGATAGTGTCTCAACAGAGCTTGAACGATCTCTAGAAAATCAAAAAAAATCGTATCAGACAATGGGAGAACTTTTTTCAATTTACAGGAAATAAGAAGAAAATCCTTCAAGTCACTGATGTGCTAGTTCTTATCTTTTCAAATATTTTCAATATAATTGAGAAGTATTTTGTTCACTAAAGAGCCTCACTCTGAATGATCTCGACACACTATCTGCATCAGACTTGTCCTTCCCTCCAATGCCAAAAACTTGAATTAAATTCCCTTCTGAAAGTTAGTTACTCACTTGGCACATAAATTCCGTCGACTGGAAACACTCCCATTTCTTCCAAAATCCTCATAATGATCCCTCGACGATCTTCTAACATCAATACCATTGGGCTGCACCTTGACCTCATCCCTCTTATCGCTGTACGTTGTTATATGATTGTTGTTGTTTAAGCCAAGTAAAGCAGCTAATGAAACTTTACCACCATTCGCATTCTCCGCCTTGTAGACCTCAACTTCCTTGCGCAGGCGTTCAACAATTTGCTTCTGCGCATTTTCATTCAAATGTGTGACAAAGAGAGACGAAAACTAACTTTACTCGTTGCTTATAATGGACATTCAATGGAAGTTTCTGGGGGAGTTAGAAAAGGGAGAAAATAAAAGTGAGAATCATCACTTTTATTCAACCTCTCTCCATGTTTTCAGGGCAATGGACACATATATCTTTTAAACTTCTTTATTATTATTTATTTGGCAAGTTGATGTAAACGGATTTGAATTAGGAAAATTGGAGGATTGCTTGATGCTGGGTGGATCGATTTTTATGCTTCAGACAATGTGAGAAAGCCCCGGGGAATCTACAGGTACCGGATCAACCAACATACCTATCATTCTGGGTATAAAACCCACCTACGCCCAGTTTCCAACCTTTTCTACGATCGATTCCTCACTTCAATAACTACCGCTGAAAGAAATTGTCGTCTGGCATGACAACATGTTCAAGGTGTTTTTTCCCTGCCACACGTTATGCACTATTTTCTTCTTCCATTACTCGTCATTCATTTTTCGTTTTCGTTCGTTGGAAATTTATGTAGAAGGCGTGAGGAAGTTGCTCTTCTTAGGTGAAGGAGTCTCTTGTTAATGAGTGAAATCGAATATATTCGCGTGAAGACATGAAAAATCTAGGGAAGACCCTAGGCGTCATGAATAAGTGGGTACATAACGATTTTTAAGCTGCGCTTGTGCCACTACGATGTTATCTCCATCTCTCTTCAATCTATTAGTTTTCAAGATTATTGAGAAATTTTTCCGCAAACCGGTTGGAATTTATAATGCGCGAAAATAAAGAAAATTTATAAGCGTGTTTGATTTCGGGGTGGAGGGGGGGATTATTGCATGGACTCGGAATTGCATGGATTCGGAATTGCTTATAACTTTGATTTTTAGAAATCTATCAATGTGTTGGAATTCCACGAAAATGAGGAAATTTCGTTTAATCATTAATAATTTTATTTTATTGAGCTGTGTGTGCTGTGTGCGGGAAAACCGAAAAAAATATTCCTTGAGATTTTGAAAAATTTTTAAAATAGTATTTTATTTTTGTCTATAACTGAACTCTGAGAAATTAATTTTTTCATAGCAATAAAATTCATAATAATTCCATTAAGTACTGTTGGATAGAAACTTTTTATCACATTTGCCAATTTAATGAATGAAACAAGTGCAACTGATAGTCTCATGATTTTCCAATTATATTCAATTTTTAATTTCAAATTGCTATTGGATTTTTGGTAAATGACATCAGAATTATTAAAGGCCTGCAGGTCTTTCATTGTTTTTTTTAATTCTCAAAAATTAGTAGAAAATAAAGGTGGTATTTCGGAATAACTCGTAAATCGTTGCGGAAATGCAAAATTCGGAATTAATATGGCGGAAAAAAGGGCCCCACGATGGCGTCTTTTTCGATGAAACTACAAACGCCGAGTTTGCGAACTTTGTTCCCTGCGATTATATCGGAATATAACGAGAGTTGGTGGGGTGGATGGGGTTTTAGTTGAATAGCGAAACAAGGAGGTGAAGGAGACGATGCCAAACGACGTGAAACGACGTTTAATATCATCCTGGTACAATTTTCCAAATCATGAAGAACATAAACATTCAGAGAGAATTTAATCACTGTCATTTTGCTGGTATAAAACGAATGACATTACTTGAATGGCAAATGAATAAATATGGGACTTTACAATTCAAATTTACCACTGGACTTAAATGGATTGAATAATTAAACTGATAGAATCATCATGCTTCCAATTGCAATGAAAATATTGAATCAATAATTTGACACAAATCTACCAGACTATTTATTATGCCCGATTTTTTTAGAAAACACTGGCGGAATAAAATCACTAAGAAAAGCATTCCTGTAAATCAACGGAAAATACAAAATATAAGACGTGCTAGATAATGACGCTTGATGGAGATTTAATTCTCGAATTAATCAAGCTCCGATTACAAAAAAAAATAGCAATTTATGTAAAATATACGGATTAAAGTAAATGTTACGAGAGCAACTCATAAAATTTTTAATGTAATTGAACATCAGTTGGTCATAGATCTACGAATCATTTCTTATTTATTCAAAAATACCGCGATTAATTAATTATTAATATTTATTCAACTCTCTGCATTTGTGGGTAATTAGGCTCATGAAATTTGGGAAATGCTACTCACTCTACGAATAGTACCGATCACCGAGTATAATTCATTGTTGTTGAATAATCAAATAAATAATTCAGCACATTGTGCGCTTATATTTTCTAACATTCATTAATATAAAAATTCGTATATAGCATATGTTGCTTCAACGTCAACTATGTCATTTATTTATGATTCTTACGAAAATTAATGACTCTATTAGATCATAATTGGGGGGAATTCTACTAAATATTTAATAAAAATTTAGAGGATCCTAAAAAAATGTTTTACGGTTTGTGGAGCGGAGTTGAAGACGCTATTCCAATAATTTATAAACAGGCTCTCATATGTTAGGGAAATTAACGAAAATCAGCAAATTCCTTAGGTAATCGGTATACTACCCATCTTTCCCGTTCACCCCACTTTTCAACTCTTAATTGTATGCAGAAATGATCAAGACAAGAAATTGCCCTTCCCATTACATAAGTTGTCGCGCTATTTTCTCTAAAGTTTTTTCTCTGTGTACTGAGCCAGCGAACACTTATTTTGATCAGAGAGCGGCGGGAATTTCGAACAGCCGATATCGATTGCGATTTTCGGAGCGCGACGCGCAGTATCTGTGAGAGTTTCTCGGGATGCAATAGACGAGGAAGAGACGCGTCTCGCTGGTCTACTGCTGGTGTGTGGTTTGAACCAGAGAGAGGCCCGCAGATCAATAAGGACCTTCTTGACGCTCACGTCCCGTCGACTGATTGGTCAACCTTACACAAATCTTTACGTAGTTAATATTCTAATTGCGTCAACCCCTCGATCATCCCGCCGAATTTCTCAAAGAGATCGAAAAGTTCCTTACAGTTTTGATATGAAAACAAAATAGAGTCCATTCCCCAATGATTTCCCTGGTTTCCCTGATCTCTGATTACTGATTCCATTAATTGCCAACGCGTATTTATTCATGGCTTCCAATTATTTCAATCAATGGAATCGAAGGACACTTTTTGAGTGGTTTGGCATATAATAAGAATAAATGGTTGGTTCTCATTGGTTTGCAATGATTACTAAAGGGGGAAAATCAGAATTTAGCAGTTGGAAATCGCGTTATTTCTTTGTTTGCTCGGTGATTTAAATAAATTGCACAGGAAAATGAAACTTCCAAATTTATAAAACCCTCGATGGGAGAGAAACATTTTTTTAGAGAAAAGTATTGGCAAGTTATTTACGAAGTGATGGAACAACTATTTCTGATCAGGTATACAAGCTGTCGCGGAGTTTTGTAATATTACCGATAAATTTTGTTGATTTACCTAAGAAATAGACACTGACTTTGAATATTCCAGCACGAACCTATCATGCCAGAAGAAAAAGAAGGTTTCATTTATCGAAACTACCGATAATCAAGGCTTTTCAAGAAATCGTCACATTGACTTCTGAAAGTATATAAAAAGATCGTCTTCCGTAACTATTTGCGGAAACCATGAATTAAGTTGTGGGTACTTTTTAACGAGAGATTGCGAGATAAAACTAGATATTGTTTTAAAAAATGTTTCCTCATAAAAATGCGTTGGCTGGAGGATCTCATTGTTGCCGTCAGTTTAATGCAATGCAGTTGTTCTACAAGAAGCAAATTATAAATGGAAAATTTCCTTTTTGACTCCTAATCGGATAATGAACGATTCCTCAACAGGAGACTCTTGCAGGATGCTCATAAATCCCATAATGATTTCAACATTTTCCAACCAAACAAACTCAACATCACTTCTATTTGATTTACCTATGTAATTCAATTACACTGAGAGCATGGGATTCAGCCCAAATAAACCTAACTTGTTGCTGAGAGAAGCAAACTAATATTGAATTACATATTTTCAATTCAATATCATCCCTTCCATGCTCCTCAATACTGCTGGAATAGTTATTGCTGATTAATTGGAATAAATTTCCCCTTTGCACGAGAGCTGACTGACGAAACTATGAAAACGTTTACATTTCGAAACTTTCGACGCGCTCAAAAACTTAAACGTCGCAATCCAGCAGCGAACGTCAGAGATCACCTAGATGTTTCGATCGACGAGGAAACGGCCATAAACTCACGAAGCGATTCCCTGTAATCCCCAACTCAATATCATTCAATCAAGCATGAGAAAATTTCCTACTAATCCTCTTTCTTTTAAGATAATACTAATGCAATTTTGTTTCCTTAATTTATGGACTTCTTTATGTAAAGGGACCCTTTGTGCACGTCGCGTTATGCATGCTGAAATGATATCTATGAAATTCTGTATGTTACAAGGACAAATTAAATCCTATCCGTCTATCAAACTTGTTAGCCTGAAATGTTTCTAAAGTTTCTTTTCAAATTCTGTTGCGGAAGCCACTTCAATGGTTACAAAAAATAATGATAATAGAGAGTAAAAATTGTTAAAGGGTGATAGATCCAGATTATGATTGCAAGAAATCTGGTAAGTCTGCGGAAAAATAATAAAAAATGTGTAGTTTACAGCCGCCATGATGGCGGAAAGAAGACATTCGACAGTGAATAACAAAAAAAAAATGAAGAATCAAAATGGACTCTTAAATGTTGTCAATGGTAAACTGCATATTTTTAATGATTCGTCTGTAAACTTGCCAGATCTAGTAGAATTAATATTCCGATCTGCAATCTTTCAACAATTTTTCCTCTTCTTTACCATTATTTTTTTATAATCATTGGGGTGGTTTCCGCAACACAATTTCAACAGAATATTGGAAATATTGTAGACTAACAAGATAGAATTCGAACCAATGATTAAGTTTGATATCATTTATTTAAATGGGGGTGCGGAAATAAAAAGGGAGACGTGGGGGAAAATAGAACTCGTAACATAGACTCATTTCACTTGAACGAACTTTCCAACCTTTATACTCGCGAATTCCGTAAATTCATTTCTTCTACATTGCTCCGGATTCTTCATTATTCATTTTCATAATTTATTGTTGTTCTGACAATGACAAAAACACGTCAATGTTTTTGTTTTCGTCACTCTCTAAATGAAATGAGAACAATATATTTAATTGAATTTAACAAATTATTTACAGCTTCAGTACGCATTGCCCTATTTTTTCCTAGAATTTTGTATAAAAGATGCCGGTACGCGTGGTTTAGTACAACATCAAAGCAGTCTCCCATAATTCATGTTAAATAGATTGAAAATCCAGAAGAGTAATTCACCCAGGCTTCCAGGCAACCAGGCTGGTTGGATTCACCGAGGCCACGGTCTTAACTCGATTACAATCGATAACCTATATCAGAAGGGGAGTTTGTCACTGTACGCAGTCAGCTGTCCATCTATACATCAGCGATTAATGTCCAGTGTCTCATCAAATCCCTTCACACTGATATTCCCAAAACCTCATAACAAACTCCAAAATTATAATATCGCATTTTCGCGTAACACCGGGCGATCGATGTGCTGCATTGCTGACGCCAAGCCAAGTCGAAAGATGCGACAAATCGTGCCAACGATGCGCAACTGGTGAGACTTGCTAATCAAAGGTGGAAAAGGTGAAAAATGGAAAATATCGCTTGATAATCCCTCGATCAATCCCTCTGTTCTATTAAATTTCAACGATCCACAGTAAATTCATCGTCTGGCATAACATTGCAGATGAAAAGAAGGCGCGTGGCCTTGCTGACTGCAGTGGGGGCAGAAAAAAAGTGGGGAAAACTTGGGGAAGATGTGAGTGAGAGGAGCTGAACAATGTGAAGGACTGGAAAATAAGAAAGTCCAAGCGTTTTGTGTACAAACTCACCTGGCACCGCCCGAGGGAGACTATGTGCAGTTGAATCTCCTGAATTCTGCCCAGTATGTCGGAATTCTAAAAATAATAATGATTATCATGGCATTACATCGATTCTTGTCCCTGGCAACACTGGTATTAGGACAATTCCATGTAATTATTTAATTGCTAATTTTACGATAAGAGGTTTTTCGTCTAGACGACTGTACTCACGTTCGGATCGTCCTTGAGTCTTCCAACGTATATCTGTGGAATAATCAATAATAAATAATTAGTTTGAGATATTCGTTAATGTGTCTTCATGCGCACCGCAACATGTGACGCAATTATCGCATTTGTTTACGTGAATTTGGAGAAATGTTTAAGAGAATTTGTTCATGTTTTGCATAATTTGGAGTGTAGCTTGTCGAATTTCACAGCTTGGATTTCAGTAAATTTCAATAGAATTTAACTTTTTTTTCTTAATTATTGATTTAAAATGAACGAATCCAAAGATGATGGATTTTTTATGAAACTAATCATTTGATTTATAACACTTGACCATTTATATTTATAATGATTCCTTCGTTGTGTAATTAAAAGTTAACATGAAGAGATTAAGAAATAATGGTTTATGTCGACGCGAAAATGTCACCAGTATTTCTATTTGCTCTGATTTGAGTAATTTCAATGAAATCAGCAGAGGGTCAATTAAAACTTTTCACAAAACTCTGAATAAACTTGAAAAACTCGACTAATCCGCCATTGTCATGGTGGCTGGCCTCCATGTAATTCCTAAACTTTGTCCGAGAAAGTTCAAGATACATGTATTGACACTCACTGCGTCAAGACTTAATTCATTCTCCTAATTCCTCTATTACAAACCCTTGAGTCACTCCACTCTCACAATTCTCTTCACTACACCCCATGAATAAAAAAACCCATAAACAAAACCGAGAGAGAAAAAACTGCTTTCCAACTGTCTCCGGTTCTTTGACCGAACAAACTCTAAAACTTTATCTCATGGAACTTGTTGAGAAAATTTATAAAGTTCAGGTAAGTTTTAGGTGTAATAATACATCATGGATAAACAAGATGATAAAAAGCAATTAGGAGTATTGAAATGAATCACCAGTTTTCAATCAATATAATGAACATCTGTTGAATACGCTAATGATCATCGGAATAATTTTACTGATGAATGTTTGAAACTATCACTCAAATGATTTTTCATTTAATGAACCTCCACCACGCTGACACTTTGAAACATTCATAAGGTTAAACAATACGATAAAGTACAATAATGAGTTGAATAAAATATGTGTGAAATTTCCAACCATTCAATCGAAACAAATACGACTGGAAAGTAAAATCTCCGAGACATCTGATTTAACACATGGATGGATAATAATAAATGGCAAAGAAAAATAATGGCAGTTGTTTCATCAGACAGAACGTGGATATGAGCATGATGAGCATATAATGAAAAGGAAAAACTCGGATTTGGCTAGGTTTATTGGAGGTTAATATTTCATTTTTAAAGGCACCACTCAAATAATTGAGAAAGCGATAAATAGCAGGGGATGAGTGAATAAAAGAGAGGAGAACCATCACGTAGGTTAGGTTGGTTGTATGGACTATGGAGTGAAGGACGCTAGAGACGACGTGGTGTTGGATACGATGATGGCCGTGTACAAATGGATGCGCAGAGACTCATGTGCGATACAATTAATTTTCGCATAGAATGGGACCCGTAGAGGGGAGAAATCATTTCTGGAGATTGAAGATGATGAGTTGTTGGTAGGTGCTACGAAGTAGGGGTGGGGGGGGGGGGGGGGGGAGAGGGAGGGGGATGGATTGGCCGAGGTCATTGCATTGGCACCTACCAGTCCAATCTTGAAAAACCAATGTCAATTTACGTGTTATTGTTTTGTAGAATTGGATTTTTCTTCATCCCGTTTTGCGTCTTTTTGTTTTTATTTTTTGGTCTTTTGTGGGAGAATGCGGTGGAAATGAGTGGACCAGGTGGTTTTGCGTGGGAACAACTTGGAGCTTGTGCCCGCGAAATTTGTGGGGTCAAGGGAGAAAAGTTTTTGATTGGAAATTAATTGGAGATTTTCCACCTAGTCGAGTCTCACTGGGAAACTTTGATTTCCTTACTTACGATTACATATCCGGTGTGTCGAGATAATGCAAACGCTTTGTTTTATCTGTACTGAGAGAATCGATGGAAGTGATCCATCAGAGAGAACGAGTTCACGACGTGTTGCAGGATTTTATGAAATTATAATTGAGTTGTAGGGAGATAATTGTCAATTGAATTTCCCACTGATCCACTTGACGCAAATCCGAAAAACACAGGGAGAGTGATTGTTTGTATCATGCTGAAGATAAAGTAACATTACAATGGTACGTGAATACGAAAAACGACGTCATCGAGTAATTTTGAAGGAAAATGCGTCAGCTTCATGAGTAATAGTAACTGAAATGCAGTGAAACAAAAACTCACGAACTCAAGGATAACAAGCATGAAAAAATCCTATCATTCCCAAAAAAAATTGGATTGAATTACAAACTCACCTGGTGATCTCGAATGGCATTTTTCAGTTTGTTCTGCACCAAAATAATTTCCTCTTGTAGTCCCTTAGATATCTCCATAATGCACGTGATTGGAGAAATATTTTTTCCAATTAAACTTTTGGTCCTGAAGAAGGCCGAAAAAACGCGTGTGCCTAGCGCGCACTTACACAGTTATAGTAAAACCCTCAACACAATGTCACACGGGAGCGACGAGAGTTTTATGCTTAATAAAAAAAAAAAAACACTGAGCCGCCTCAATGAATTTCAATGTATCTAAACATGTGTGAAATAATTGAATATCGTTGGGGCAAACATTTGTTTAAAAATTGTTATTTACCACTCTCTTACGGAATAGTTATTCACACTGACTATTATTAGTGTTAATTGTACCGCGCAAGAAAAATACGTGAAAAATCCTCTCCGTTTATCATCCGGCGCACAAGCCACGGCGCGCACCACAGAACAGCTCACGACGATGGGCCACGGGCACTTGCCCGACACCAACACAACTTTACAATTCAGTAACACAAACACAACTATGCGTTATACAACCGGCTGAAAAGTCCATCGTATGTACTAGCCTCTCAAAACTAACACAAACCAGTTGAGACACATACACCACGACAAAGTTACCCGAAAACCCTCGCACGTACAAGCAACTGGCGCCACTCGCGGATGTTTCATAGAACAAGTGCGCGCGCCGCTACTTTCTATAAGCCTAAGTTGTTGTTTTCCTCTTTTCCTATGTATAAGGATATATCCTATATGAACCATCAAGAAATTGCCTTTTTTCCTTTTCCTATTTTTTACGCCGGAGTTCATCGACAGCGCATTCTTCCGGTGGTATGTTTACTTTTGTTTCCAACAATTTCAGGTTCGTTAAGGCACTATTTCCCCTTTTTTTTCGCCAATAGAAAGTTTTAGAGGGGGAGTTGAGTCGCTTTATTGGATGGTTCAATTGACCAGGGGAATAGCGAATGGAAAAACAACTTCGAAGGACATGATAAGGGTGGTTTTACCCGGGTAAAACTCAATGATTTCTTCTTCTGCTGTCTTTATCTGGTTGAGTTTATCTCATTTCCGGAATATCGGTTTTATAAATCGCCTTTTTAGATTGGTTTTAAGGAAGAGCCTAAAAAGGGGAGGATTTCGATTGTGACAGGCTATTGTCGTGTTGATTACTGGTGCCATCTCCAGGCGAAACCATAAATGTGAAATTGCCTTGATCCAGTAGATGGCGATATTGCTCTTCTATCGCATGTATGATTTAAATAGTGAAGGGGTTGTAGATGCGCCTGCCCACCCTCTTTCCAACTAGAAGGTCAGGAAGACTTGATAGTTTGAACATTCACATAGATAACTCAGTAAACTTTTTCTGTAATATTGATAGATTAGTTGATATCACTATCAAGGCGATAATTTAGCACAACTCACTGAAATTACTATGAACATAATCATGAGACACAATTAAACCGCGAAACTGCATGATTTGCCACTATTTATCTTTGAAAATTTGTCAAGATTTGTTCAAATCATTTTCTGTCATGAACTTCAATTAATTAAATTAAAAATTAAGGCCCGGGTGGATTATCTATCGAATGCCGACTTTTGTTTAAATTTCATATTTTTAACCTAAAATTCATTAAAATTTGGGATCAATTTTGTTTTGCGGGAAACACTTGAATGGACATGAAAAAAATAATGAAAAAAAAAAGAAAAATTATTGAAGGGCGCTAAAGATCGATATTATTTAAAAGTGATTTACCAAGTTTGCTAAAAAATAATAAAAAATACGTAACTTACTATTGCATCTAGCTGTCAGTCAATGTTCTGGAGAGCAATGGTAAGCTGTGTAATTTTTATTATTCTTTAGTAAACTTGGTAGATCGCTTTTAAACAATATCGCTCTTTAGCGCCCTTCAACAATTTTTCCTCTTTTTTTTCATCATTTTTTTATAACGATTCGAGTAGCTCCCGCAACACAAATTTGATCCCAAATTTTAATGTATTTTAGGTTAAAAATATTAAATTTAAACAAAAAATGACATTCGATAGATAGTCCACTCGGGCTATAAATTAATTAAAAATATATAGCTGTAATCGGTGCAAAAATTGCGGTATTCATTTGTTATATTTATGGAATAAGAATGTGGGGTGAACATTGTTTCCCATGTAAACGAAAAAAGGAATTGGCACAAACCGAATAAATAAATAAATAACATAGAAATGAATATCATATAAAGTAATAGTCAATTTTGTAATGACATTTTTTTGCGCCTGTTTGTTTTATATCATGTACTACAAAAAGGAATTACGCACAGATGGCATTCATTGCTTTCATGTCCGACCAACTTATCATCACATACGAGTTGTGAACAATGTTTTTCTTGGCAATGTGCGGGAAAGACACTTTTTACTGTGACTGAAATAGTATATTTCTCTCCTAGAGAGGAAAAGTAGACAAGTCCTCCCCACGTGCAAAATTACCTATAAAATTAAATTGGTAAGCACGTGGGCAATGCTTGTCTGTGTTTCCTCCCGAGGGTTGAATACGATTTTTCTGCCTACATGTTCGGTTCGGTTAGAATGCTCACTTTCGGCGCATGTGGGCAGAAAAGTTACTTTTCGGCACATCATGATGAAAAAAGAATTTTATATCATTGCGGCCGGTAAAACGCGTTCCTAACCTCACTTCACTCGGATAAAAACTCGTTTTCGGCCACAATGACATAAAATAGCATCATAGCCACGACGAAAAAAGTGATTCTGACTCATGCGCGTTATAATCCTCGTCTCCGACTCGGACTATAAAGTCGCATTCGTCAGATTCCCTTTTTCTGTCCTAGGCGTGAAATATACTATTCTAAAGATTGTGATTATAATCTCACAACTTCCCACTCTTCAAAAAGTACTTCACTTGTATTGCAAACTAAATCGGGAAATTAATACGTGTTTCATAACGAATGACTCTAATTTTTTAAGTTTTTAGACAATCGTAAGCTCAGCTGAAAATGCTCTTATCTATTTATCTTCCTGTGTGCTCTTATTTCTATCATATCTTTTTTTTTAATTTGCCGTGTATGCCCTTTTCGGATTTTTACATTGTTACTGTGTCATGGGCGAACTTCCTCTTTAACCATGTTGCATTGTACCCCAGGAGCTGTACCTCAAGTACAGACTAGACTGATGACCATAGGAAACTATGAAAAACCCTGGCCGACATGGCGTCCATCAACAAAACTTCATAGGAGAATTATTGTTTCTAACACTTTCCGATGATTCTTCGTGTCTAGACTCCCGTTCGACTGTTTCCGAAAAATTAAAAGTGCTGGTGCCCCAACCCGACTTGAACCTAGGAGGTTTTAGATTCCGCCATCCGACTGAATGATTTTACCACTTCGGCCATAGTTTTTTTTAGACTTTCTTTACTTTAATCAGTTCGTTTTATATAGTGTTTAAGCATACAATCAACTCCTACAAAAAACAGCCTTATCAGTGTTTGATATTATGAGAAAGGTGTCTAATAGGCCAGGGCCAGGTGCATAAACGCTTGGGATTGAAGATATTCAATTTTGGTGGGCAGGCTGGGCCCAACATGATCTACGTGTCTGTTTCTGTTTAGGATTTCGTTATTTAGTTTTTTAGTTGATCGAAGTTGTTCTCTAGTTAGTCTGATAATAAAGTTTGCGATCCTTGGGATGTTGGTCTCGTCATATAAGGTTTGGCTGCTGGCCATCTTGGCGGTGGATGTCTCAGGCATGTCTACACCATCCTTACTAGCAGGAGATAGCAACTGATGAAGTAATGAACTGATGAACTGAAGCGCCGCCAAGAGTGAGTGACATCTGTTTGTTGCTTTCCTGAGCTGGATACTGTCACAGTTTGGGCAGAGGGCTAGGTGTTCAGTGTGAATTCCAAGATATTTGACTGTTTTCTTGGTTGGTATTGTAACCCACCTCTCTAGAGGCTGGTTTAAATGCTGTTATGTTTAACAAGTTTATTTCGGTTTTTCTGCATCTGATTGTCTCTTAGATTGGTCGTCGGATTATGACCTCCATGCTTGATCCGAACTTGATCAGGATAATTGCTGAGACAGCACAACTTTAAGTCAGGTTGGCCTGATCAGAATCTGATCCGAATTTGATAGGAAAAATTACAGGCGAACAACTCAATCTCAGGTCAGATTGACCTGATCAGAATCTGATTTGAATCATTACAGGTTGACGGATCTCCATTTAACTTTAGGCCCACCTAATCGGAACTTGATCAGAATGATTATAGATGAACGAAGCTCAGGTTAAGACCATATTAGAACCTGATCAGAGTAGACCGGATCAGACTAAGTAAATCGAAGAGCGATCAGTTTCTTATCAAGTTCTGCCTAATCAGTTGAAACTGGCCACCACCATATTAACTGCTGATCAAACCTCAAGCTCGTCTGACATAATTTTCACTCGGAGAGTTTAGAATTCGCCTCTCAAATATTTTCAGCAAATGAGAGAAAATTGAGAGTTCGTTTAGAGTTTTGTCTCGGTCGGATTCTATTGTTCTTTCTCAACTCTACACATTCGGAAAGAGTTTAGGGTTGAGTTTTTCAAATTTAATTTGAAATGTTTATAAATTTTTTAAGGGGAGGGACGAATGTTGCTCCCCCCCTAGAACGTTAATAGACATTTTTAATTAAATTTGCAAAAATAAACTCTAAACTCTTTCCATGAGTTTAGAATTGAGAAAGAACGATAGAATCCGACTTTGGCCCAAGTCTAAACGAACTCTCAATTTTCTCTCAACCTACAGAAACTTCAAAGTTTTACTGAACTCAACTTGGTTTGTTAGGGTATCCTAAGGTTGTCCGGTAAATTGTTAAGGGCAGCTTCGTATGATTTAATTCCGCTCGACATATGTTAGGGTTTGCGTGCAGCCATGGGTTCCGTTGCTTGCGCGAGAGTCCAACTTCGGGTACCATCGCTGGTTTGCTCGTAACCTTATCTATGTTCAGCACAAGAATTTTTATATAATTAATCCTACCGTAAATTCATTAAAGTGAGAGCACAGGCACTCCTGTTTACGTGGAATTTAGTGCACGTGAAAACAATTTTCCTAATACTGGGGAGTTGGGTGTTTACGCTTGCTGTCCAATTACAAGTTGATCATATATATCGTTCTTTTTGACAGAATCTAATAAATGCTTCATTTTTTAGTATAATCCAAAGATTTTACTTTAATTTGACTATAATGGGATTCTAAATAATACCAAAGTCGGTTTGGATTCCGTAAGAATGAATTCTTAAAATAATCGATTAGTCCCAAAGTATTTTATCCCCATCAATTTGTTATTGACGATATAGAATTCAAAAGGCATTACTGAGCGTAGTTTTTCTGCGTTAAGGGGCTATCATTTCCATGACTTCGAGGATGTTATTGTGCGTTATACAACGCGCACTTGGAGGTGATAGATGGAAATTTCTACGCCGATATAAAGTGTTCTTTTCCTGGGCCCAAGGGGATACTTGCTCCTTGATCAAAGGACAACATGATTTCGGAACGAACTCCATTTTGGTGACTCCGCGAAAAAAACGTTGACGTTAATAACTTCAAGTGCTTTTCAGTTCGACTTTGTTACTGGAATTGACCTCAAAGAATTCCATAGATTCGAAATTAATGGTTTCAGATGATATCAAGTCAATGAATTCACAATAAATAAAATTCAAGAATCGAGAGGGCACAGGTCAAACTAAGCTGGTTTAACTTTTCGAAATCTGCTGATTTTCAAAGCAGATCATGAAAAGAAAGATAATTCAAATATTTCACAAATTAAGTAAAGCGCGAATGATTATTATTTTTTAATGTGGAGTTCCCATTCATTCCGATTAGCTTAATTGATGTCGAATGGATTCGACGCGGCTTGAAAATTTCGGCGTAATTTCATGATAATTTCAATGTACTTTCGAAATACTTTTATCATAGATTGACGCCATGATTTCGGGAGTGAGTAGCCCCTTGCCTTATCAACATCTGACGATTATAATGATGAGCGAAAGTGAAATTTAACGACACACTTTTGATAAATTCTGATTTTGATGAATTTTGATGAATTTTGATAAATTCTCTCAAATTCTCCGAACAAAGTTGGGATACCTTTTCAATTCCGACACACATTACTCTTAAATTAAGAAGCTTTTACCGATGTTCTTGCATTTTTTGCTCGATACTGAAGAAAAAATATATTGTAAAATTTCCCACTTTGCGATTGAATGAATAATTGCTTGACGAATAGAATCATGACAAATTAATCAATTAATGAGAAGTAATGAGTGCTCAGGGATTGTGTGCGAGGAAGTGAAGGGAAAGGAAAGACATGGAATGGAGTTGGAAATCGGGAAAATCTACGGAAGAAAGGGTGGTCCCCATGTGAAAAGAGAATTACATGTTTGGAACTACGTGAGTTTCTGTATTACACCGAAAGAAATAGAACACATTCTGTTAAAAAATGCATATCTAAATGCATACCTCATTTCATCGTTGAAATAAACCATTCGTAATCTATTTTCGAATGAAAAATTACTAAAATTCATCAATAATAAATTTCGTTTGTAACACATACATAATTCTATCAGTGCATCTACGTGTAATTGCTGTTTCATTTATTCAATTGAGTTACCAATAACTTATGGCATGTTATGTGTACGCATTCTTATTTGCTTTGGAGGTTTTTACGTTAAAAAACAAATTTCCCAAAACGTTTCATTAATTTATTAATCGTTCTGTCAAATCGATTGATTATGAATCGATTGATCAACATCTCAGCTTGCCAATTAATCGCGATATTGTGGTTGACATTTATGAAATTTGATAACACAGACATGTTTCTATTGTGTGATTATATCTTCATTTTCTCGTTGTTTGATCACTTTGGTGTATATAAGCTCATTAAATTTTTTGCTAAGCATTTTCTGATATGACCGTCTCAGCTCTCAGTTAGCCCTCTCTATTACATAGCAACGCTTCGCAAACAGAAATCATTAGAGGCTCAAGGAATTAAAAATGTAATTATATGACAAATGCTGAAATGGTCAAATAATCTAACATAACTTCAGTTATCATATCATTTTTGCTATATTTTAACATTCCATCGACTGAACATAATACGCCATTTTGTGTAGAAATATCTCCAAAGATTTTTTAATAAAATTTGTCATATTATGACAGTCTCTACAAATTTATGTTTCAGTTCGTAATATTTATTACCTTTTTACTATTTTTGAAATTTTCTGTCAACATTAGAGAGAATTTGTGATGGAAGTTTCCACCAAGGTGATTCTTGAAAGTCCTAAACTTTCATAATTATTTATTATCCACTTTTTTTAGAACTGCGTAGAACAGTCCCATCGGTCAACAGTAGCTAATTATTTCCCCGAATTTCAGACATAATGCATATTTTGGTGTATTTTAACATTTTGGAGTGCACCTCCAGTGGACGCAAGCCATTCCGCTTTTATGTAATCTGAAAAAAAAATATTATTTCCCGCAATCCACTACGAAACTGGCGATAATCTGCACTTCTCAGACTTGATCAATAATTGTAATAATAAGACATTTAGTTATATTGAATGATAATTTAATTTAAAGCATATCAGCTGCTCGATTACGTGTTCAATATACGGCACTCACTACTTCTTTCAATTATTCGAATTAAATAAGGAAGTTTGTTGAATTATCCATCCGGTTTCGGTTAACGTGTCCACCGATTTGAATATTGACGCTGTTTTTTCTAGCGACATCTGTGGGATTTCATAGCATTTGCTATTTCGTGGTGTCCCCCTCTAGTTAAGTCACAATTCTGAACAGTTTTTGGCGTTTATGGCTGGACTCGAAATCTAACCTTCAAGTTTTCAACTATTGTTTTCATCTGGTGAACAACGTAGATGAGTGTATGTATGTATGTTGCCTTTATGAATGGGACTCTAGTGACTTCAATAGATAAACAATACAAGGAATAAGAAGGTAGTTTAAGCTCGTCATCCCTCGTGCTTGTGTCATTAGAAAAAACTAAGTTCGTCTCGGCAAACGATTATTTTTCGTATTGTTCGGGAACAATGTCGTTCGGCACGGGATTTGGGACGTCCACGCCGGCGACACAGTCAAGTTTTAGTTTCGGAACATCTACGGTGAGAGCAGCAACCCCAGTGAGACCAAGTGAGTACTTTCACGTAATTTTATGCATAAATTATTCTGTTATTACTCTTCCGTATCTTTATTTTTCCAATTATGAATAACTCCGTTTTCATATTCTTTGCAGAATATTCCAGGTTAGGTTTGCGACTAGCAAAACAACTTGAACTTTTTTATAAACAATTTTTAGTGCCTTCCCAAAATACTACTCTTACTCGTCGACCTTGAAAACTTTCCTGGTCTACTCAATAATGGTCGTTTCGCCCCAACACAATCTGGGTCACAATTTAGTTCACTGGAAGTTGAGGAGCGTCTCCTTGATACGGCTATTGTACACATAATAATAAGACAGAGGAGCACCGTAACGATCAAACACATCGCCAGAATGGTGAATAAAGTTTTGTCGTTGTTAATTTCTGTCTCTGTTTGAATTTCGGTGACGATCGTTGTTGAAGTGGATACAATCGGCAGAATCTCAGACTTCATGGATTTTATCGAAGAATTGACTGTTGTTTCGCCCAAATCATACCAAACATTTGGAATAGAACCAGTGGTTGTATTCATGATCTCGGCTGTCGCATCCTGTTGATATGTGGAAAATGAAATAATTTTTCATTTCGTTGAAGATTTTGAGGAATTAACTGAGGGATTTGATGATTTGTTTTCACCCCAATTGCCATATCTGTGGTCCCAATATCATGTAGAACTTCGGTGAGGCCTGTGTCTTGTCTTGGTTCAAAGAATATTGATTCATTCCGGGGATATCTCTCATTCCAAGTATTGAAGAATCTATATGGTATACTTTCGGTCTTCTATAATTAATAATCACAAAAAACTCTATATGACAGGAAAGATTTACTGATTTTCGAGGAAGACACAATGGTTGATGACTTACAGGGGATTTATATTTGGCAAAATACATTTTTGCTCATCATCAAATTTCCATAGCATTCAGAAATAGGTTTGATCAACTTTGATGTATATGTTCGGTCTTAAAATAATTAAAAAAGATCTATAAAAAGTGGAAACTAGTTTAAAACTATCGATGCTTATGAAGACTCATGAAATTGACAGTCTATAAATAAATAATTAACAAGTGACGTGTAATTATCAAGGGAATAGTGTCTAACTTCAGTAAATGTTGATAAGAATGGATTCGTTATTTATAAGGCATGGTTAATATTTTCCATTCAGTGAAATGGAAATAATTGTTCAATGATAAGGCCTTAAGAATCCTCAGGGAATTATTTTTTAAGAATAATTGATGATGGGATGCGGTTTTTTTTATTCGTGTGGAATTGGCCTTCGAGCTGAGGGTGAGAATTGGCCAACAACACGAGTAATAAAAACCCCATTCCGACAGTCCGGTTAATATTTTCCTATTTATTTTCTATTTCAAGTTTTGCCAGGGAAGTATGTAGTACCAATTCCCAGAGGAGAAATCGTGCGTAGCAGTACGGAAAAATGCCTTATGGTAGCAAATTTTACCATCTTGATATTTTGTTTCCAGACTGACGTCTGAAATAATATATTTTTGAACTGTTGGGAAGCCAACAGCCGATTTGATTTGGCCCATCGAAAATTTTATTCTGCAATATCACAAAAATTACAATGGTCGCAATTTTTAATTTTTTATCCACATTTTATCGAGCTCTATTGTGCTCATAATTTTTTGCCAAAAATATAAAAAGTTAATCATTATCAAAATGTCTATAGCTACATAACAATATTATTGAAAAATTTGGCAGAAAACAATTGTATGTAAGTATGGAAATATGAAATGAAATTTATTAAATATTGTGAGATCATTCTCCCTGGTGGGATCGTCTGGGTGGTTATGCGATGCCATTTCGGTCGAATGCTTACTAAATAATCTCTCATCAATATTTCTCAATCATATTTATACGTTACGGGAAAATTAGGAAAACTTGCAGTGATTCGCTTGTGTACCGAGTACAAACAATCCATCAGAATGAGCAAATAAAAACTGACATTAAGTGCGTTCATCATTCTATTATACAATTAACGGTTATTCCGTTAATAATAAAATAATAAAAATGATTTTCAGCTGGTTTCGGTTCAACTTCCTTCGGCTTCAGCACTCCAGCTACCTCAGCCCCAACACTTTTCGGCACACCAGCAACTCAATCGACTGGTTTTGGCACAACTGGATTTGGATCTGCAGCAGTAACCGGATTCGGTGCTGCAACGAGTAGCACCAATACCTTCAGTACGTCAGGTTCAACTTTTGGTTTTGGAGCAGGCACAACATTCGGTACAGCGCCATCATCCACAACAACAGGGTTCAGTACTTTGGGAGTACCCGTGACAACTAGTGCGATAAGTTTTGCCGGATTTGGAAATTTTGGAGCAGGAACAACAACAACCACTCAAGCCCCAAGTCTCTTCAGTGGATTCGGCTCAGCCAACGCAGCAGGAACAGGATTCGGGAACACAGGATTCGGTGGATTTGGAACTAAATCCGCGACAACAACTACAGCCACTGGGTTTGGAAGTTTCGGAGGACCTTTAGGAACTTCAACCTTTGGCAATTTTGGTGGAACTTTAGCTCAACCTCAGAACCAACAGCAGCAGGCGTCCAATGCAATCTCTGAAGCTCTATATAATGCAGTTTTCAATTGTCAATTATTCAATGATGAGAGAGACAATACCATAGCCCGATGGAACTTGATTCAAGCTCTTTGGGGAACTGGCAAGGCCTATTACTCAGCGAATGCGGCACCCATCGAACTCACTCAAGAGAATCCTCTTTGCAGGTTCAAAGCTATTGGCTACAGTTGCATGCCAGTCGCCGATAATAATGATGGGTTTGTTGTTTTATGTTTCAACAAAAAGGAGCAAGAGTTGAAGGATGGAAAGCAACAATTGATTAATTCCATCAATCAACTCCTAGGAAATAAGCCCAATTTAACTGTTACTGTTGATACTGTCAAGTCTACAGGAGAGTTAAAGAGCCAAGCTGTGATTTATGTGTCGGAAAAAGGAGTTACTGGGTCTTCGAGAAAAATTCCAGCCAGTGAGCTTGTCGCGTACTTATCTCAGACCATTCAAAAGCAACAACTTACGCAAATTGGGGTGGACAATATTTTTTCTCAGGTGAAATTGGATCCCTCGCAACTTAAAGAATACATGGAGAATCCACCCTGCTCTATCGACCCGAGATTATGGAAACAGGCACAGTTGGATAATCCAAATCCGGAGATGTACATTCCAGTACCCATGATTGGGTTGCAACAAGTCAAGTACAGGCTTAATTGCCAAGAAAAAGAAACTGCCAGACACCGGGCATTCTTGGACATGGCCGCTGACAGGATACAAGGACTACAGAGGCAGCATACTGCTACACAGGCAAAACTCAAAGAACACAAGAGGACTCTTTTGGAGTTGCAGCATCGGGTTCTTCAGGTAAAAAATAATATCTGTTACTTTTGGCATCTACTTTGGTTCATCAATTAGTAATATACCTCCGAATGGATACCGCTTAACCCATCCTGTAGCAAATATATTCTATGTTTGGATTTCTGCAACTATAATGAAAACATTTTTTTCACAAGGAAAGCAAGTTGTGTTCTCAAAGTTTCTTCTTTTTTCATACCATCTTATTCAATATTAAAATGATATTGAATTCCACAATCGTTTTATTATGCCGATCCAGCTGTAGATGCTTCTTTCTCTTATCCAGGCATTTTTCTCTTCGCAATTTATAAAAATAAAGGTGAATTATACCTCCAGTATAATTCACCGTCCCTTATGGATGTGTCATCCACAACAAACATTCATCCTACATTAATTTTCACGTAACAAAGTTACGATATCCTCGTCGCTTTTTCTGTATTATACTGAATTTCAAGGATTTTACGTGTTTCTCCAGTTGTCGACATTAAGCTGACTTTGGGCCAACTACGGCACAAGATTGTTTGTTATAATTTAGAATCTGATAATGATATAGACGCTATCTCCGAACTCGGTCTAGGTAACATGAATATGGATTCAATCCAAGCCAATTCAATTCAATCGATTGGCACACTTATTTTCTCAGTTATTTTGGCACAACTGAATCGGCCACATTCATGCATAAATACGGACGTGCTCTAAAAACATCATATTCGGATTTCTGAGACCTGAGTTAACCATTTCAATAAGAAAAAATAGAAAACTAGTAGTCCTGAAGAAAACAATGCTTCCGTTCTGATACTCGATTCAAAATGCTGTAAACAGATTCTATCCAAAATGTATGATTCGGATGAATCAGTTTGTTTTTTGGTAAGCTGAGAAAACTTGACCTACCCCCAGGTAATAATTATGAAATTTCACTTAGACATTTCTTAATAATCGATATTTGACAATAGTATAATTCGTAACAAGTGCGGAAAAGTGATTTTTGACGAGTAGGAGGTTTATAACATAAGCCGAAAGCGAGTGGTATAATCCCACATGCCAAAAACAACTTTCTGCACGAGTTGCGCACAATATTTTTCCTCATAATGTGCGGGAAAGTCACTTTTTAGGCAGGCGAAGCGAAGCGGAGCGTGTCTGAATAGTTATTTTTCCGCACATCGTGATGAAAATTTTTTTTTTATTCTGCTTCCTTTTTCTCCCTATTCGTCTACCTATGAAGTTATAACTTACAATCCGATCTAAAATGGAGATGAATATTTATATCGAATCGAATTGAAACTCGAGATAGTTGAAGCCTAACATCTGTTACACTCATGCCTCACTGTTCTTGGCTCACGACTTATTACTCATTTCCACTCACTCATACTTCATCTTTCATTAGCGCGGATGTACTCATGGAGCATTTACATAGCGTCATCTATTTGAATTTACTTCAAGATTTTTCACAATTTGGAATGTCTGAAAAATTCAGAGCCTGGGTGATCTGAATGATCTGAATATTTAAACATTCTAAGGTCTTTCTATGAAATTTCAGGTGTTATTTTTTAACAGTATAATCTTACAAATTAATAATCTGTGACAGAAGACACATATTGTCACGCGCGCGTTCTGTCTCTAGTTTTTTATAAATTGACTAAAAAAATATCAGTAAAAAATACGCAAAGTTCTGGCACATGTCAAGTTTTTGCGGGACTGAATTCATCATAGAAACTGTAACATTTTTTATAGAAATAATAGAGCCGATTCAACGAATCATGTACATGGAAATATAAAATTTTCCTACAATTTTTGTCATTATATCCGGTTAATATTTAACAAATTGCTGATTTCTTTTCCAGATATTAGTTCGTCAAGAAATTACGAGGAAAGTAGGGCTTTCTCTTCAACCCGAGGAAGAAATACTAACGAATCGATTTGAAACCATGCATTCACAAATAAGTGCACCCACACAATTTAAAGGAAGAATTAGTGAAATGTTGTCTCAGTTAAGAATGAGAAAACACGTGGATATGCAGAATCAGGAAAGATATTCTATGGACCCCATTGCACAAGATGATATAAAAGCGGTGAGTAAAAATCATTATTTCTTCATCCCATTGAAAAAATTATAACGAGTAATTCGTGACTAAAAATTTGCGCACCGGCAAAACAGCCGCATAAAATTTCTCGTTTTCAATTTATGTTATTAGAGAATCATATCCATTTCAACGCTCAAGTGTATAGACTGGACAATCCCACATAGATGTTTTTATTTTCTTTTTATCGAAAAAACTAAAAATATAATGTTTTGTTTTTCATTCTTATACGCAAGTGATAGCAACCAAGCCAAAATTGGGAATATGTGATTTGGCAAATTATTGAAGAAGGCTATGGCGGTAGATAATTTCGCGACTAAAAAATCCAAAAAACTTGAAGAAATAATTATTAAGGTTTTTTCAATTAATTGCCTACATGCGGTTCATAAAATTATTTACGTTCCCAGCTTCCCCCCCTCCGTGATGCTCTATGGAAGTAGACAATCCCACTTTCTTCTTCGTTAAAATTATTCACTTATAAAAATTAACAACGGATAACGAATGTATTTTTAATCTTTCTTTAATAACTTTTCTTGCACATGCATTAATGATTTTGAGACATCTACGCTTAATGCAGGACTCATTTCACGTTACAAAACCATTTAGAAACACTCTTTACATGAGATTGTTCGTTCTATCTATCCAGGCCTTAATATCTTATCAATGAAAATCGGGAACATCGCGAATTATTTTAGCTTGCTTTATCGACCAATTGCAATGCAGTATTTAAGGGATTTCAAACAATCCTCCGAGCACCTCACGACTACAATTTTTTCTTAAATATTTGTCGCGAGTTTCTATGTAAAAAAGAAGTATATTTTACAAAAAAATCAAGGCTGCATACTTGACACTTATCTATTGGTAATTAAGCTTTAGTTGTCTTTTTTGTTGGAGTCGGAGAATTAGTGAGCGATCTCGATAATGCGGATTTCGAAAAATTACTTCACTTTTTCCAGTTTCTATAATTTCTCGCATAATATTATTAAAAACAAAATCTGCATATCATAACTAGATTATTATTTAGCAGCGAATTTAACTTAAAGTCAGCGGCGTAAAAAAAATGTATTACTCAAATGCGAAAAGCTTTTGAATCGTATCTCGCAGCACAAAAGAGACAAAAAGACTTTTGTGTGATTTTTCGAAAGCCTACTTTTTTGAGCGGACACAGTTTTGGTTATCTTGGCATTTTGAATTTGAGATTACGAGGGAAAATCGAATGATACTTTGAATGGTGCATTCCAACAGTGGAATATCGTGGGCAATTTTTCTGCCTAATATGAGGTAACAAAGTTTTTCCGTTCGTTGGCAAGTTGTTTCACCACTTTATTTTCCAGGTTGGCTATTTCGGCTGAATGTCAAAAGCGCAATATGCAATAACATAAACACTGTGTTCAATTGGCGCGAAATTAGCGAATGCCAAAAGGCATAATTAATTGCGGCATGTAATTAACAAATACAATTTTCAAAAACGATTGTCTAATTTCTAAAAAAATTCTAAACAAATAGTGCAGTATTATTGACCTGAATCTGATCTCAGAAAGCCATCGATAACATCCACAATATAATATTAAATCGTTTTTAATGATCCGTTATTAGAATTAACAACTTATAGCTTTTACAGAAAAAAAAACAATCCATACTTTAATGTTCCTGTTAATTATAGAATTTAAAAGCTCCGGCTAGACTCATTTTTAATCTTTCAAACTATAGCTGATTTTTTAAAAATAGAAAACAAGTGTTGATGTGCTGAGGAAATTTTCAACATTCGGAGTTGACAAATTTGCTGAATTGCTGATTTTGTCAGAACACAAATGCGTCAAAAATTACATATTATAGAAATTGCCTCCAATTTTTTAATAATAAACAACAATAACTTTTTCTTTCTTGCAGTACTTGGGCTTACAACAACAGGGAATGGCTCAACTCATCGACACAATAAATACAGACATGGAAAGTTTGAAAGTAATCAGAGATGGAATGGCAGATTTATTGACAAGCCATACCATTTCCTGAAGTATTTTATCTCTGACGTTATTCCTTTTATATACTCTTTATGGTATATTTTTTTAGGTGTTCATGAAAAAAATCTATCTTGTAAAATAATCGAACGAAAATCAATGCAATTCAGAAACAAGATTCATCATAATTGATCTACATAATTGTACGGAAATATGTGAAACTACCTCATAACATGGTCAAAATTTGTATTTTTTCCTTTTTCATTACAGAAAAATCAACAGATTTCTCTATAAATAATTTATTTTCGTTAATTGAAGTCTTTGAATATTGCTGAATAGAAATATTTTCCCTCGTATCCGCTTAAAGAATTAACAATTACTTTTGCACCATATTATCCTCTCAACAATATCCCCAGATGAGGGGAAAAAAGCATCTTCATAAAAACTCGAAAAAGGAATCTCCACGCAAAGGAAGGAAATCCTTAGGCGAAACTGGACCAATTTTCGGATCCAGAGTGTCGTGCATCTCTTTGGTTTTGTAGATAGGAGGGTGTGTTCCAATGTCTCTGCGGTGTTTGTGACAAATGATATTTTCAGCGCGACTCATTTTGAATCGCCCGCTTAATTTGATCTGCGCCGTCGCCACATCTAGTAAGTACTATCCAGGATCCGATATACTATATATCGTAAAAAGTGCGGGAAAGTGATTTTTTACGTATGAGAGGTTTATAGCACGAGCCGAAGGCGAGTTAGTCTGAAAGTTTTTCTGAAAAGTCAGTTTTCGGCACATTGTGATGAGAAAATTTATGAATTAATTCGTTGCTTCATTTATAACCCATGAATGGCAATTCGATAACGCGCGAAGTGTCCTCTAAGGATGTGCGCAACGAAATCGATTTTCTACCGATGTTCTTAAAAAATGAAATATATTTAGTTATTTTTTTTTCTTATATTCCGGCCCTGGCAACGTCACATAACGCGAAAGCTTTGAACTACTGTCAACGTCTAGTGGTTGACATGAGATTCTATCAACGTATAGTGGTTGACATGAAATCGTGTCAACGTCTAGTGGTTAACATGAGATTGTATTGAGCTGTAATGGTGCCAGATCGGAAATAACGACGCAGTAGGATCATTTTTTCACTTCTACGCAGATGAGGCGTAATAAAATTTTATGTCATCGCGCCCGGAATCCGCGATTTAACCGAGTGAAGGGAGGTTAGAATCGCGCGATTACGGGCACCGATGGCATAATAGTATTTTTCACGCCTAGGACGGGAAAAGGCAATCTGACGAATGCGACTTTATAGTCCGAGTTGGAGACGAGGATTATAACGCGCATGAGTCAGCATCACTTTTTTCCACACTATAATATTCGGGGAAATTCGTTCCAAGTTTCGTTGCGTTCCGCAAGCGTTCCACGGAACGAAATTCAAAAACGGCAATTTCATTCCGTTCCACAGTTTCATTCCACTTCCCTGTTTCATATAATTGAGTAAATTGTGGAAAATAAGAACTAGAACTTTTCGATATAAAAATGTGGGAAAGCTAAGTCAGGGATGTTAAATGAAGCTAAATATTATTATATTTTGAGTTTGATTTTAGTGACATTTGCAATAATTTCTCGTTACCTTGATTATGTTACTAAATTAGAATATTGAAATATAAATTCAGCGACGCGGAAACGTTGAGGAATTCGAAATAATCAAAAGATGCCGAGTAAATTATGCTCAATAGTAATTTTCTGTATTACTAACTTCTTGGAAATTTAATTGAAAGATTTTAATTTGAATCTAGAATTTCCTGTAAAAATTCACAACCAAAATGATTTAATAGAAGGCACCAACAATTAAATATTTATCTCTGAAAATTTCTTGATAGTCTGCAGAGTCCGTAAAAACCGGGAATTACCATTCTGTAACTTTTGTAATATTTTGCTCTCCATGTGGTCATTTTATGAAAGTCACATTGCTTATCAGGAATTTCTTTTCATAAAGGTTACGCTGGAGAAAACTCTTACTAGTATTGTCAGATATAACAAAAACATAGGAATTTTTTAAAAATAAATGGGGAACTAGCAATTCATGAATTTTCCCGTCTATTAAAATAATTAGAGTTCTCTTTGGTGCTCACCATCACCTTGAGATTACAAAAGTTCAAGGAGAAATGGGAATAGGAATTTACCAATTTTAAATAACTGAAAATTAAAAATTTTCCCGAATGTATCCATGGCATTTTTCAACAAAAGGAAAAAAAGTTTTTCTAAAGTTTTGTTTAAAGAATTATTTTTTATATACATTAATTGATACAAGCTTCGACTGAAATAAGATACAGCGCATCAAAAATCATCACAAGTTTTCAACTTTAAAATTATGCATAGTAAATTTCATGCAAGTGAATTTTCTTCACGTACTACGTGGAAAGGAACATTCGCCAATCATCCACCATATTTACACCAATGAGTCGAACAATCTTGATAAATTTTTTCCTGAAATCGAATAGTTATACGATGAAAAATAGTTTGAAGTGGAGATGACTATGAGTTTTGAATGCCGCGGGCTTTCGTATGATTTATAGAATTATAGTATAGATTTCCCATGTGTCGAAGATCGATTACATATTTTAAAGACGTTTAATAAATAGAAAACGGAGAGACGCTTAAAATGTTGAAAAAAATCGGTATTTTACATTTTTTGTACAGCTTACGAAAGAAGCAAATGATGAAATTTATTTCGATGCCCCACGATTTTCAAAACTCATACTAGTGTGCACTTCGTTGAGGCATGTCAATTGCTTGGCAAACTTAACTTTGTTTAAAGGCCGATTGGATTATCTATCAGCCGTTATCTCGATATTTCTTTTATCATTATTCCATCTACTCATTGCTATTTGTTTTTTATAGGATGCACGATTATCTGAGTGTAAGAAATATATACACTCAAAAAAATTAGAAAAAATTCTTAATATTTAAAGAGAACGTTTTTGACTACTATTGTGATTAATGTCATCAAAGAGAGAATTTTCAATATATTACCTATACCGAGAAAATATTTACGAAAAAATACGTGAGAGTAGCGGAATTCTAGAGCAAAATGGCATTTCGTGAAACATTACTGCATGAATCTGCACGTAATTATTACGTGAAACTCTCGTCAAATTTCAGGTCCCTTTCATTTTTCACCGAATAACATTTCGTGCTAAAAGCTCTCATGTAATTTTTCAAGAATTTTCCTCTCCGTATACCGTTCCACATAAAGTACGAAATGCGATTATCGAAACTACGAGGAGGAACCTGTCGAGGATGAATCCATTCATATACTACAAAAAAATTAATAATCAGAAAAAAACCGTGAAGATTTTTTAAATTTACGATCACGGTGTGTTGGGAGCAAGCTCTAATCAAAATGAAAAACGTTCTCTCAAAATATTGAAAATTACATCTAGTTTTTGGTGTGAGTGTATGTGAAGGATGTTTTGTTGGTCTTTTGTTATTTTTCCTGATTTTCTGAGATTTATTGAAAACTATCGATCGGATTGGGATATGAAAATATAGTGTTTGTCCGTTCCATCATGATTGTTTCTTCCATAAAGTTTCACCCAATTTTTGTAACTTTTCACTAAGATTTAATAAAAAATCAATAGATTTTAGTGAAAAGTTATAAAATTTGTTGTATCGGGATGAAACTTTGTGAAAGGATAAATCATGATGTAACGGACAAATGCTATATTTTCATATCCCAATCCGATCGATAGTTTTCAATAAATCTCAGAAAAATAGGAAAAATAACAAAATACCGGCAGAACATCCTTAATTCATTTTAAAGGAGAATATAAATAATATATTCTGTTCCACTGAAGAGCAATGTGCAGATGGAAAAAGCACCGAAGTTGTTCTAATAAAGTTAAAAAAATAATCCAACCAGGGCTTAGGGTATTTATGGCGGCTTATGGCGTGGTAGACAGTGGGAGCTATTGAGGTAACGAGGTATGACTTGACAAAAGTAATTCACTTAGATAATAGGTTCTCCCCTTTGGGTCAATTCATTCATGTATCATTTGCGGTAAATGTTCGTTTTGTAAATAAAAATTTTGGCACCAATTCGTTTAACTACAGTCGTCCACTAAGTGGATAAGTGAATGAACATAGTTTTACCATACCGTCTTTTTGTGCAAAAAGAAAATAAATAAATTGCCCCATAGCGAAATATGTCGCCTATGAATATATCATCACAATCCCTTCCCTATTTAACACTCTTACCCCTCCACGAGTCATACTCGTTACTTAAACGTTGTTGTTATTTCGAGCATTGTTTCCTATTTTTTATGATATTTAATTGATTTAAATCAATGTAATTTTAATGACATTCATTTAAATCAATTGAAGTGTAATTTTTTATTTTCATGATTTTTTATTCAATGGTATTCCTTCATACTATTTAGAATTCTGTTTGAATTTATTAAAAAATCAAAGGACGGATTTTTCTGAAATGATGAATTTTTTGATTTTGTGTGAATCACGCCATAAATACCTTAAAAGAAAAACAATTTTGAGCGACATTCCGATATCTCTGTCTCATTGAATTCCTCAAATTCATCTCATTTCTAATATCAGCTCTTTAACTACAATTATAACAATTATATTTGGCATAACAGTCTGATCAAAGCTTTCACCTGGATTGATTACTTCCTTACAATAGACGAAGAACGACAATTGAGCAGTTAAAAAGTGACAAGACCAAAGTTTGAGAATAGAAACTGAATTCCAGGTAATCATTTCTCGAGACATTCGTAAACAACCAAACACGAGAAACGATGACGTAGACCAGCTAGGACACCGGATATTGATCACGTGAATATGAAAAATTTATAGACTACACAGCAGACAAACGGAGCAATACATAAAAAATATATTTGGCTGTAATAGACGAATTATTTATGAATTGTTAGGTCGAGTGGAATATCCTGCTCCATCTCGGTCATGCCTTGGCTTTTCACTTTGAAATTTGGTCCCATCTCTTCATCAACATCCACATCGGTCCACACATTCTGTACTTCATATTTCAAATCGATAGACCCCAGGAGTTGCTTAAACAAAGGATTTTGTGTTTTCATAATGAGATTTGACAGAAATTTTGTTTTCTCCGAAAGGTTGTTATGGATACAGCAAGTATGACGACAACAACACGGTTCTTTTCGATCTTCATGTTTAGGACTCTCCGAGGTATTCATCTGCACGCAATTATCAACTCGTCTGATAACGGAGTGTCTCATTGCATTTTCTTCTTTGTTTGGTGTGCTGTTCACGATTGACTCGATGTTTCGGTAGTCCACTATAACTTTTGACCGGCAATCATCTTCGATTTTTATTGGCGTTGACTGCATATGAATTCTGGGTATATGCGAAGGACTTCGGTTTGGTGATTCTGAGGTTGATCGATCATCAATCTCATGGCTAGAGAATAGTAAATTCGACCTTGGTTCTGGAGTTCTAATTCCTTCCTGGAAAATGCTGGGGTACGATTTCATTTCATAATGGTAATTTCTATTCAGTTTAACATGCTCATGATCGTCACGCTCTTGAAGGTTATACATGTTGTTCCATTCCTCGAATTTTCGTTGCTCTTCAAAACTCAAACTACCTCGTGGACTCAATGAGGGCGATGTCGTCGTTATACTTCCAGTACTCGAGTCTTTTTTATCTAATTCTCCATTGCTTCTTCCATCGGGTGATATTTCGAAGTTTGATTCTTGGCTACTATTGTTTTCGTCGAAACTTTTCTGTTGAACTTTGTTGTTATTGTTAGTATAATGACGATAAGTCTTCACGTGTTTCCGGAGGGACGAGGGGTCAGTGTAACGCTTTGGACATCCTGGAACCTTACAACAATAAGGCTTGTCAACGGCGTGCGTTCTAGTATGTTTAAAACGATCCGAGGAGTTTGAATATCTTTTTCCACAGCCTTCAACTGTACAGACATATGGGCGTTCGCCAGTGTGCGATCTTGCATGAATTTTAAGATTTTCGGCGCGGCTGAAGCTCTTATCGCATTCCAGACAATGGTGCGGCTTTTCGTTGGTATGAGTCCGCACGTGAACCAGCATTTTGTATCTATAAAACCATAGAAATAATATTATTGAAACAACAGATTGAAGGGCATGTGCGATTACTTCAAAAGGGCATTTATTCAAACATAACAAGAACGGGAATCAATATGATAATATCTCAGGAGAACTCAAAGAACAAGTGATTATAATAAAAGCCTGATGCTTCATTCAAAGAGATTGGAAGAGACAGTAAAGTATACTTATAATGGAAGAAAATAGAAAACTATGTTCACGGGAGGGGGCGGGGGAGGCGTTGAAATACAATAATATTAATATTGATAATATGATGCACGTTGATTAATTAGTTACCTAGCATTAAAACCACGATCACCCCGTGAGCAGCCTTCCCATCCACAGTAGAATAACTTGTCTCGTCCAGCAGCTGCGTGAAGCCGAGCCACATGATCTGACAACTGCTCCATCGATGTAAACCATTTTCCGCAGTTTAACCATCTGCAAATTCCATCATATAAACGTCATTGATTGTTCATCAAATGAAAAGAGTTCAATAAACGTATCACCATCAATATTCAATAACATTTTCTTATGGCTATCTATTATTTATCTATTATTTATCGATCATGTATCATTTCCATTTTTTATTTATTCTTAGCATATCAATTTAACTTTCAAGTTCGCATTTGTTTCACCGTATTTTGAAGAGGATTTACAGCGTATGTAATGAGGTATTTTTGCTTTGCTCATTGATGTCAACTCGTGCCAACGAAGGGTAAGAACTTTATTGACATCAGTTTGCGACTGCTATATCCGATTCTATTAACTCTACACTCAGATGAAAAAACAAATCAACTCTGAAACGAACGCACATCATGGTGGCATCGATCGATTGGCTTATTTTCTGCAATTAAATATTAATACAGAAAGGGCAAATTGTTTGCGAGAGATTATGCAATTTTTTGCTGGTTTTTCCCATTGGCTCAAATGTAATCCCAACTAATTGGAGATTTTAACCCGACGTTAACTTAATCTTTAACTGCGGATTAGACTCGATTAACTACGCTCAAAGCACTCCTTGAGGGGTATTTTAGTTACGGTTAACGCATAATTAATGTTAATTTGTATAGTATTAAAGTCTTCATATCGTAGTGGGCAAGCTCATTGGCTCACATGCGATAGGTTTCCACTTTGAGTTCCGACCGGGCAAAATGATGGGATCTAACCATTTTTAAATCTTGATCGTCATCGCCGTATAGATACCCTAACTACATTGAAATTATGTGAAATAAAAATAAGAAACAAGTGCGGAATGCCATTATAAGGAACGGCGTATAGCTGTTCTTGCTAAGAAACTAGCAACAAGCTTCCGAATTGATTTTGTCGAAATTGAAAAATAATAAGGGTAGTATCATATCATCTTCTGACTTGAACATGAATGCTTTATGGAAAAAAAATCAGCAATCATTTCGTTGATAGTGCTCATATCTTCCGTTGATCACAAAGAAGATGAAAAAAAAAATTTCATATACAATATGCTCTAACTTAGCAACAGATGATGGGATTCTCTCCGTATTCTGATACAATCAAGAGCTCATTAATAGTGATTTTTTAAGCCATCGTTAATTGCTCTCTGATAAGAATTACTTGAGTTATCAATTATCGAAAAAATACGAATATTTACGAATCTGTCTGCCGATTTCAATTTCAATTGATGTCAATGGATGGAGAGCATGGCAGTCTATATTCACAGGGAAATTCATGAGATTCTATTGATCCTTCGTGAATAAATCAAGAGAAAAAACTAACAAAAAAAATAGTGAAAAATTACGGATTCTTCTGAATCGTCATAGAAATTTGACAACTAATCAGTGTCAATAGATAGAGCTTTTAAAACTCTATATTCATTTGGAAAAATCATGGTATTCGATCAATCCCTGGTGAAGAAAAAGAGAGAAAAAAAGTAAAAAACGCACACACGCATACATACATACATATATGCATACAGAAACAATTTAAAAACCGCATATTCAGACTTTTTAGGCAACATTTAGTTATCCTGACCCAAAAAATTGGGGACTTGAATATGGCCAAATACAAAGCTGCCATTCGGAAGTTAATTTTCTCTTAACGTATATTCCCGGTATGCCGGTAAGTACAGCCAGTACTACAATTACTATATACTGTGCTACTGTGCACATTCAACCTATCGCTCTTCCTTCGTTGAGAATATTATCCCATATATCCTTCTTTCTCGCTGTGAGGTTTGGTCAGAGTAGGAGATTCCGAGAGATTATTCATTTATCTTGGGCTCATCCGCTGACAGTGCATTTTCCAGGTCGTTCTTCTGAGTGCAGACTCCCAAATATCGCTGAAGCAGGAATAAGTGAAAAACACCTGCTCTCTCCTGGACAGACCGGAGAATCCGGGAACCCTCATGTTTAAAATTGTGAACATAGGTCTGCAAGTACTCATGACCTGACAGCATCTGTGCCAGGTAGTAATTAACCTCTCCATGACTACGATTTAACCAGGCGATTTAACCACCTGCGGAATGAGTGGCTCCCTCTCCTGTTCGGCGAGATATCCCATTGCAGCTGCCATCGATGCAAGCTGTTTCGGCACTCTTCTGTTGATCTTCTCCACCAGTATACAGTGAAATTGAATTATTTTCTTATTAAAACAAGCAGTTGGCCGTTCCTAACAGTACAAGACATATGATTGTTACTTCACATGTTACCTTTTTTTAAATTTTATTTTGCCATCAATTTCATTAATGGTTGGCTTCCGAATGGACATGAAAACGGAAATTTGTTCATATTTCTTGGTTCATCTAAATGTGACACATCGTAATGAATATTTTGAAAAAAAAAGAAAAATTAAATCAGTTGAGTCGTTTTTGTGATATTTGAGAAAATCGTTTCAGATACAAAGTATAATATCTTCTGCACAAATCATCCGATCTAGCCCATCTTCAATACCAAATGTTGCAGTCATAAACGGAATCTTTCTGTCAAATTTCAAGTTGATAAAATGTTTTTTAAAAATCAGAGAGGGCGTAAAACGCATTTTTGTGAAAAACATGAAAATTGAAGTATCGGAACGAACACATTGGGTAACTTCCTATTAGGAAAAAAATTAGTAAATCCGATTTACGTATCGAATCATGAAAATGAGATATACTGTAAGGTCACTCTTCCTGCGACTCACTCACCGTTTCTATCATCAAGTGTTTAGTGAATAGTCTAACAAGAAACCATGCATCTACCAATCAATTCTATGATCCTGTTATCAAACTCCGATTTGATTGACATTTTCATAAAATGTGGTCTAAATTTTTCTTCAATTTTTTCCAACTTTTAACAGGACCACATAAGAATTAAAGAGGGGCACCGTTTTTTCACCATTTTGATTCTCAGAAAGGCAGCTGGATTTTTAAGACAAATCTATCATGGAGTAAGAAACGAGCATTGAAGAAGAATCGACTGATCGAAATTGAAACAAATGAAAAAACCCTTGCTCTCTGAATATAGGGGGATCCCACTATTTCACATTTGAATTTGACGTTCCCGCGTGGCGTTGGCACAACGTCCGAACGTCGAACGAGTGAGAAATTGTGGAACTAGCCGATTGATAGGATCAGAGATTACAACCTCTGGATAGTATCTTTTCGTCCTAGTTTTTGGCGGGAGCAAAGTGAGATTCTTCGGGAGAAAAATCTACGCTTTTCAGGGCAGAGCAGGGCAGAATTCTATGTCCTCGCCCTACATTAGAAAAATACTATTATTTAAAAATAGTAAGGCGTTATAAAGATTCTAAATATGATTCCAAAAAATTTGGACATTTTTTCCTTAAATATAGAGTTTGCGATTTTCATAATTTTTTTCTTGACGTAATGCCGTAAAATCCTCAATCATTCAAGGACGAAAAACTCTCAACTAATGAACTGATGAAATCTGATCTAATTGATGAAAAGTCATTGGGCTTGTGAAAAGTATTTGTACACATTTGTAAGATGTATTTTCCAAAATATTCATCTCAGAAAAGATTCACAAGAGGTATATGTGATAGGGACACGGAGATGAAGAATTAGAACTAATAACCATTCAGAAAATATGACTATGAACATATTTAATAATCTAGAGAGATGCAGTCTTGAGACTCTCCTTCCGTCCGAAAATAATAATTTCGTTTCATACTGGGTCCAAGGCTTGGTAGGTAGGTTTTGTTCAAGCCTTCAAGTACCAAATTATATAGGCTCACCTATTCTATGAATGCAGAGTAATCTATTAAAGAGACTTGGGTCCTAACGGTAAATCACCGCTGGTAAATCGCGCTGGTGAATGTCAGTTAATAGAAAATTACTGTGCCCAAGGTACTATTTTCGTCATTATTGTTTATTAATTATTCGCCCTTTATTATGACCGCGTACTGGAAAATTAAAAATCAATAATGTTTAACGTTGACATAATTGCTATCAACTCAATTTAATGGTCATATTTTTATGGGCCATATTTTTATATGGGCAACTTTTTATGGTACATTTATACATTTTCTCCGGGAATTAAAATATAGCTTGTTATTAGATAGTTTATCCTTATATGATACTCTTATGAATTAAAGATGGAGGTTTAATATCTTTAAGGTTGTTTCGCATGTATTGATGAAGATATAAGAATTGCTTGAAATTGTGGTAGAATGTTTTTAAAACGATACAGATGCATGTATAAAATTGAAGATTCCATCACAACACCGTATTGTGGTTATTAAGTTTTTAATTAACATGGCCTCTTATATGGGGATATAAAAATTTGTGTGAATATAGTCCAAAATATTAAATTTTGTTGAAATTTAAAAAATTTACTGATGGTAAATATTTTATGACGATTGACTAGAATGTTTTTTCATTAATTGGTTTAACAATATAATATGTATTTATAAAATCAAATACAGTATAATAATTTTCTATGAATATTACTTCAAATAATTAGCGCATTGCAATATTAATTGAAAATTAATTGCGATAAATACAATGAATTATAGAAAGGGACATAAACTTTTGTTTTGACTGCCCGTGCGGAATTTCATTTGAACTTGAATTGAAGGGTAAAATGAAGTCATTCTCAAACCTGAGCTTTGTCAAACTAAGACAGGAATAGCGTAAAGTATAGTAGAAAAAATATTAAAGTCTTCAGATTTCTCCAAACAACGTCAAAATATGTATAAATGAGTATGTAACTACAGTACATTATTTTATTCTCATTAAAACTGGATATGTACGCTTACGAAGAAATATGGGTTCACATACATTCAACATGTATCTGATATATTACATTTTTGGGTAGAAATATACGTGCGTATACTTAATATCTATTTCACATATCTACCGTTTTTCGTGCAGGTATTATGTTTTAATTAAAAATTATTTGAGATAAGTTCGGTATCTAAGGAATGCCGATGACCATAAAGCAATTACATAGTCACCATTATTCTGCCAAACTAGTTAAAATTACATCATTCTATATTGTTATCACAGCAATATACTTCGTAGAAAAAAAATGGAGTTTATGATCGAAATGAAATTAGGTGAGGAAGGACCGACAAAACAGACCGCAAGGCAAAACGGATCGGTAATTGTGTTAAATTGTTGATTAGAACTTAAATGTTAACATAAACGTTAACACCAATTTTGATATGGAATGGTTAAAAAAAATTGTTCCCAACAGTCTTAACAGAAAAATTGAAATGTAATCGGTTACCGTTTCTAGTTCAATGATTGTTGGTTATACTACTTATTTTATTTATTTGTTTCGATATATTTCACTTGACAGTGAGAATTACCCGTTAAGTAATTTAGTTCCACCAGTCCATTTTCCCCATCCTCTCTTAACTGAGAAAAGGATCATAACAGTCTACGGAATTTGAAATAGTTACGATGCTATTATATCGTTAACTGATACGAAAACGATGCCTTCGGGTTAGGAGGATAAATTCAATACTTTCCAATACCTTCCGGCAGAATTACTTAAAAATTCTTAAATACTATTTGATATTATTGATTATAACAAATGAATAAAAACAGAATAGCTGATTTACCTGCATTTAAGTTGACCATTCTCCCCCTTCCTAATGTTACTGAGTTCAAGACTTGAATTGGAGGCATCGGAATCGCTGTGAGCTGGACTCGGTGGTCCACCACTAGCAAAGCTTGGTAATGTTGCCAGGTCGTTAAAAATACCAGGCGATCTACCTAATTCCTCATCAGCCGGCATCCTCCGCGGCCAAATTGGAAGATCCAGCGCTGATTGATAGAGATTCAGCTGACCTGAGAATAAACGGCTACCAGCGAGGTGGACACTGCCGACGTAATCAAATGATGGGTTATAATAGTTGGATCCACTACCCAACAGTGTACCCGGGTAACGAGCCGCGCCGTAAGGCCCAACGTGATGTGGCATTCTGCCAGGGACATAAACAATCATTTTTTTTATGGAAATCCTACTATTTACTGTAAAAAGTCACTCAAAGATTTCGCCAAATTCGTACAGGTAGATTAAGATTTTTTGTTGTTCCTTGAATGAGTAGCAATTCAAATTATACGCGCACTTGCAGAAACAACTTTCACATGCAATGCATTAGCCTTTTTCACATGATTTTGTTGATTTTCCTGAATTCATAAAATGATTCCAGCTAAGTAATCAAAACCAATTGAATTAATATAATTCTTTGGAATAAAATTGATGTTGATATAAGAGAATTTTCAAGAGTGATAACAACCAGAATCATAAGGCCAAGACTTTCCAGGTCTCGACCAATTTCTTCAACATAGACCTTGCTCAGTGTCCAATGTCGTCAATTCCTTCAAAACCCCTCGCAATAATGCTCTAATTAATTTTTATTTCCGTCATTATTCGCTGAGTTAAATCGCAGTAACAACAAACTGCACGTCCAGACGATGAAACTCACTACACTACAGTAGCACGTTAAATTTTTTAATAAATTTGTAAACACAAAAACATTGTCCGAGTCCTTATCGTCAGATGTATTTGAAACGATTGGACTTGAGTATGCGGTAGCTTAGGAACTGCTTGCTGTACTCGATGGAGAACATAACTAGGCCGGTAACTGACTTTTTTATAAAACAGTTTTACTAATTTACTGCACTTCACCCAAACCACCAGAACTTCCGCCAACACTTAAACTAACAATCACTACTTTATTTAAAGAATTGAACAGTTTTTTCTGCTACAGTTTTTTATTCGTCCAAATAAACTAAATTCAGATCTTGAAGGATATCTCCCTGTGCTAGGAGTATGTCGAAGCCATTTTAATTATATACAATTGAAGACACTAAAATCACTTGAAAACGTTACACAGCGTGGGAGAATATTCTTAAATTTTGACTGAGTGGTAAATAAACGATTTGCAGTTATCCAGGAATCCTCACAGAAACTGAGGAGATATTAGCAAATACGTAGAGATAAGGGATGAAGTGAAGAAACTGTACACTGAACGATAAAATGATCGACTAACGTTGCAACTCATCGTCTGGGCTTCTTATATACCAGTTGCTGCTATCATTGCCTGATGAGGCTGTAGTCCCCACCATTGCGATATCTTTCTGTCCCGTTTGCGTTATAGTTTATTTCTTTTTTATAAGAACTGGACGCTTAACGCCTTGATAAGATTCTCAAAACGCGTGTCTGCAGCGGAGTTCCCTCATCATTCCACTATCTTATTTTTTCCTTCTAATTTCTTTGTTTTCGTTTTTTTTTTTCCCATTAGTGAGGATCTTCCGTGGAGAAATACCCAACTGTTGATATTATTGGCCATGATGGAGCCGCCATAATCGTGAGACACATGTGTGGGTAATTAACGGATCAGTGCAATAGTGATAACGCGACACTTGATCTGAACGATTTTTTCTTGCTTTTTTTATCACAGAAAAAAACGAGGAGGAACTGTTTTTTTTTCGATTTGACAAGTAGAAACTATGAAGCTCTCAGATGAATTGAATCCATAACTTCAATTCATAAAAATACTATTTATACTACATTTTGATATTTCTGCTGATTTCACAATTGTGGAAGGGGTAGATTGAGGGGAGGGAGGCAAAGTGAACTAGTGGAGAAATGGAATTGAAATTGAAGAAAGAGCAATAACATACCAAGGCATTATATTGATGATCGTTTTAATTCGTAAAAGGTAATGTTGAATGAAAACATGCTGTAACAGGGAATTGTGGGTATAATCGTGAGGACCGCTAGCAATTTGGCTAGATTGATCAATCATTGATCGGGTACAAAGTCTCCAGTACATTCCAGATGAATGTTATCTTATAACCGCACAACTGGCGCCAGTAACTGCGTACAAGTTATATTTGAAACTACTTCATGCCACTTAATATGCAAAAGCTGCTATATTACATCCTATTATCATCTGAATTTTTATATGTGCTTTTTTATTAGCTAAGGAAGAATTTAATATTACAAATAGAATAATGAACATCAATCCAGGGATTCAAGAAAACAGAAAAAAAATTTTGATGCTTGGAGGAAAGAACTAAGATATTGGCTATATCTTAATGAATTTTAAAGACAGCTGAGAATTTGAAGGGAAAAAAATTGACCGAACGGCTTTCTATAGTTGACTCTTGCGAAGACTTCATAGAAGTCAGTAGGCAGGACTTATATAACAATGTTCGTCACAAGATTCATCACAGCAGAAGTATTATGGATTTCACAAATGCCTTCGATACGATGCTTGATAAGTGCACTTTGAGCGCATATTTTTCTCTATCTCTTTATGTCTACATTTGAGAATTTTGTTTACACAAGCAATCATTCGAACGTGTCATATATGTTTCAATTATCCATCTCACCAATTAGACACAGGTGGGAATGCACGATTTACAAAGTTCTAAATACTATCAATTTTTTCGATAACGTTGCCCTGGAAAATGTCTCAATCCCCAAACTTCAATTTTTTAAGAAATTTTATCAATTAAGAAAATTTAGAAAAAAACTGGACTGTCAGGTCATCCGACTAATCACCGATTCTTCGTTGAATGGTCCGAAAAATTGACAAATTTTCGAAATACAGACTGCGATGGAAAAAGACGTTCGTTCTTTGCTTGACTTGATCCATAATTTTTTTTTTCAACCTGTTTTAATATGCTCATTATTCAATAAGTCTTATTACACATGGTGCGCGAAGCAGGCGGATTTCTGATCAATTGAAGATTGATACATTGAGAAAAAAAGCGTCGATCAAATATTTACGCGATTGATAATCATTTAATCTTTTGCCCTTGATTCAAGTGCGAAGTAACTCGAGTCAATTGTGTATTACAACGACAACATATTCGCGGCAAATTTTAATCAAAAACGCACGCGTTGCATCGATTCTTTTCTCCTTAGTGCTGATTAATAATCAATAATATTCGCAGCATGGAAACAGAAACACCGAAAAAGAACTTGATTTAAGTATTTATTGTCTTCTGCGTACGCTACACATACACGGAGAGAAAAATACTGGAAAAAGAACGTAAAAAATTCCGTGAAAATTGATTTGTGAAAGGTAAACGTGGGGCGAAATGTAAAATCCGAAAAAGTGCCGATCATTCAGAACATTTTACCACTCGGTCGGTAAAAAGTCACCTTTAAAGGTAGAAAAATTACGGTACTCAGTTCTGTAAATTTTGCTGAATTGTTTCGTAATTTTTCTCCAAACTTTTCTTTTTTTTTCAAAAATAATAATTGAGGGAGAGGATATTTAATTAATAAATGATTTGATTGGATCAAAACTTCAAAAATCACCTGTAATGTTTTTTTTATCCTTCCGACAATAATAATTTGCCGGGTGACGTGATCCGAACGTAAAAATTACGGTACGTCACATAAAATTTAAATGAAACTGGATAATTTTTACGTTACTCGGAATAATTTTTACCGGAACTGTGATAAATTTTAAACGTGCGTAAGAAATTACGTGAATCACGTAAATTTTCCAGAGCAAATAATCAAATTTACTGTTCGTCTCTCATTATTTCCCAAATTCTCCAGTAAAAAACAAGGTAATGACACTCCAGCCCACTTTTACGTGATTAGTCACGTAATTTTTCCTGTTTTTCTCTCCGTGTATACAAATGGATATTAAATCATCACTTGCAAAATAAACGTCCATTATTCACCTTTATATAGACCCGTTAAAATATATCTATGCCTATGTAAATAATCTAGCTCTATCTAATCGTACAGTCCTAAAGTAATTTAAGTCTCAAGAAGGTTTGCTATATATTCCGCCGAATGTAATACTGAATATTTGCGCTCGTGGATTATCAGCGTTGAGTGAATCTTAAATTATTGAATATCACAGTCGTAGAATCTTTTATCCCAGTTTAGGCCATGAATTTTTCCACCATGCATAAGAAATTGTTAATGGCATTTTTAAATTGAAGAACGAAAATCATATGCTGAAAATCCATTTGAAAAATATTCTAACTTCATTGAGAAATATTGCCATGGCCGAAGGCGGCAAAAATAATATTCATGTGGCTTGGATTGAAGGCTTTGTGCTTGGTACCAATTCTGCTGGTGTACATTGAACTATCGAGAAGAAGAAAAGTGGCATTACTCGGCCTTGGTTTGGCATGAAAACCAGCTGAAGAATGAAAAGGGTTGTCTAGGTAGAATTTTTCAAAAAAAATATGAAGAATAATATAAGAGAATTGAAAACATCATACAAGTTTCAAAATTGATAGCATTAATGGTATATTAGGGTCAGAAGATAATAAAGTGCAAAGTTAGAAAGGCGCATGCGTATGTCAATTCAAGGATGTTCTACACCCGTATATAGTCAAAATTAACGTTTATGCATTTTTTTTGCAAACTTACTATGGAATGAATGTAAAAAAATATAATGTTTTTATAAAGTTTCAAGGTGGTGCATGAAAATAATCGCATCATCACAAAACTTTGTGAGCCATTAAATTAAGACAAAATGCAAAAACGTTGTATTTTTTTACATCATTTCCATTGATAATTTGTCCAAAAAACGTGAACCGTAGCTATATATGGGTGTGAAACATCCTTAAAATGGTCAAGCTTAAATTGATATAATAAAAAAATGAAAAGTTGAAACTTATAGAGAAAAAACGAAGTTCATCAAACAGTACCCCCAACGTCCTTCGATGGGCACATTAAGGAAAATGGATCCGCCCCTCTCCATGATTCACCTCCATCACTCCATCTCTATCCATCCAGACCCTTCCCCATTTTCGACATGACACCCCATGCACCACGAGGCTGCTGAAACGTCGGCATTCTTTGATCTTGAAATGCCGATAAAACAGGTAGAAAAAAAGTCCTGAACCCACGGTGGTAAGAGAGATGGAAACACAAATAAAACCAATGAAACTACATCACGTATAGAAAGAAGTGCAGGAAGGATCATCAGATCTGTAAGTCTAGAGAGAAGATTGACGGAGAAACAGAAAAGGGGAAAATAAAAAATACGAAATATACGCACCAATGCTCATGGGCCTCTAAAACTCTAAACTGAATAAAAAATGTTCACCGACTTCTGTTATTTTTTTTCATTCCTTAAACCTTCTCATACTACTTGTTCAAATCAGTATTTTAAAAAAATGGATCGAATTATCTTTTGAATAAGTTATAGCTCTCATCCTCGATTCAGATACCTATACTAATATGTTTCAACTATTGTTGACCGTCTAGCCATTAAAGGTCGCCATCCATCTTCTATTCTCAAGAGTACATCCTTCATATAGTTTTTGAAATTCTAGTACGTAATTCTTATGTATTTATAATTTTGGTTTGATAAGTAAAGGAGAGAAAGAGAAGTGGAAAGCTACTACATGGATCTCAGTGTTAGTGCTTGAGATTACGGTAGAGGTAATCTCAATGGCTGAATAGCCTTCTATTCATTGCCGTTTTCTTCTATAAAATCCATTATCCAGATTCATTAAGATAGAAAATATTGTAAACCGGAGGAAATAGAAATTAAATGCGAGTGCATGTTAATGTTTTGTATTATTTTCATTTTAATTATGTATACATGCGGTATTATCGGTGAGCTTGAGGCAATATGGACACCTCAGGGTAAAATGGACCCCCTAAAAAGGAGAAAATTTCGGACTGTGGATGTAGAAAATTGGAAATTAAAAAAATATCATTAGAAAGGATCGCGCAAAAATGGGAGAAAAAATGAGAAATTCTGAAAATATGAGGTACAATGGGCATTTGATCATTTGGAATTTTTAACTATTTCGTATCGAAATATGGGTATTGCGCAGTATAATGGCCAGTAATGAGAAATTACTTAAACTCTATTTTTAGAGTCAAAATTAGAAAAATTGAACAATAAGCAATGCGGTGAATTAAGATTACTCAATTGGCCTTGAGGATAGGTTTCCGATGAATATTTTCGGATCTGGGGGAAATCAACAATTTTTCTCTCGAAATTGATATACCCGCAAACTTTTTCATTTCAAAATCA